TTTCATATGCATTTAGTAAAAAGCTGTTATTTTGACATTACAAACAGACACTTCAATTTTATTTATTTGTATGTATAGACACAACTGCAGTAGCTCAGCCACGCTGAAATACTTAACAGTTTGATTTTTTTTAAATGCAATGAAAACAACCCAATTAAACATTCTAGGTTGTGACTTTCTATTTATATTTCTAGACATTGAATAAAACTACTTTTACGGATTTTATCGCGTTTAATTTACTAATTTTTCTTATTTTTATTAATTCCCGACGTTTCGGGAAATAATCCCGATGTCGACGTTTGACATCGGGACGTCAATCACCTCAGTCCCCCGTAACCATGGGTGCTGGAAAGCACCCGAAACGTCGGGAATTAATAAAAATAAGTATATTAAATGCCATAAAACCCGTAAAAGTAGTTTTATTCAATGTGTAGTGTTCACGTACTACTTAATACTGGCATATTATGGTATAAATAATATCGCTAAATTTTTGGAATAAATAGACAAATGAACATACAGTCAATGTGATGGTAGGCTAACTTTATACTTTAAAAAATGAAGGCTACATATTATGCGTTGTCACTTGTCACCTCTGAGGACTAAGATGGAATACCTCACAGTCCACAATTATACTGGTTCTCTATACTATACTCTTTATATTAAGAACAATTCTTCTATACACAGTATTGCAAGAACTACATATGGTGAAGGAAATATGTAAATTGTGGGTACCTAGAAGGACCTTTAGGCCGAAACGAAGTCCTATCACCTTGAAAAAAAAGAACCTGCTTGGTTAGAATTGGTAAACTGCACACGTCTTTGGCTATTTTACCACATTTTTCATTAAGTCATATTCCTGTTTGTCTGTCTGTCGTTCCGGGTGGAATTTAGTAATTAATTTCAAAACTAACTTCTCGATGAGCTGGTAACTTGAAATTTTTAATATAGCTCAAACTCGGATGACAATGCAAGAAATAATATGATAAAAAACATGGTATTTTCTTTTTAATTTTATAAAATCACTAGTTTACGCCACTACGCAGCGATAACACACGACATATTGTGTGTATGTGTGACTATTATTTTTTTGAAACGTTCCACGGCGTTGTCTATTTCATATGTCATATTGTTGTTATCGCATGGTGTGTCGTATGGTGAGTGTAGAGAACCGGAGACCCTTTTTACTGGAAACGAGGCATTCAACCTTAGTCCTCAGGAGTGATTTCAATTTTGATTCTTAATTGAGGATAGATGTAGATGTCTATGGGCCACAGCAACCACTTACCACCAGGTAGACTGTGTGCTCGTTTGCCACCCTTATCCTATTAAAAAATCTATTATACTCTGTTCTGTCCGCTCTGCTCCCAGAACCTAGTAACTTTCTAATTTGTTATTAATTTTTTAGCATCAAATGAATTTTTTTACGTGGCAAAGCTACGCTGCAGTTATATTATGGTTGTAGCACGAATGGGTCGGCTCGGCCTGGGTGGGACCACACTCTCACAGAATACCAGCGTAAAGTAGCAGGTTAACGCTGCTGTGTTTCGTATGGTGAGTGTAGAGAACCGGGAATCATTTTTACTGGTAAGGAGGCATTCCATCTCAGTCCTCAAGGGTGACAACGCATCTGCCATCTGCGTTTTGATTCTTAATCGATCATATCTATGAGGTATTCTACGTGTATCTTCATCAGGTGGACTATGTGCTCGTTTGCCATGCTTATTCTATAAAAAAAATGTTTGGAGTCGACAATTTTTTTTTATAGGATAAGGGTGACAAACGAGCACACAGTCCACCTGATGCTAAGTGGTTGCTGCGGCCCATAGACATCTACATCTATCCTCTATTAGAAATCAAAATGTAGATGCGTTGTCACCCGTGAGGACTAAGATGGAATGCCTCATTTCCAGTAAAAAGGGCCTCCGGCCACCTGCACTCACCAAGCGAAACGCAGAGGTAAACCTCTACTTCACGCTGGTATTCTGTGAGGTCGTGGTACTACCCCGGTTCGAGCCGGCCCATCCGTGCGACAGCAATTTCTTTTCGAGTGCGAACAATTTAAATGAAATACTAACTTACACAAAGGCAGACATCCTTTTAAATACAGAATTTAAAAGGATGTGCCTTTTTAATCGTACACAATGGTTCTCAAAATGTGGACATTAGCCTAATGGCAGGGTGCGTACCGCGAACTCAAAAGGTCGTAGATTTGAATCCGCCATTCGATTACTCCTAACACAAGCATACCAGCTTACCAGGAGTGGTTAAAGGGAATATTAGTAATGTTGCATGTAATGAAATAAATAAAACAAAATCCGAATCAAAAAAATCCGACCCATCACAACGAACAAATTATAATCATCTTCATCATCATTACAAACCTCCACAAATCCACTGCTGAACATAGACCGGGGAGATCAAGGAATGTAACAAAGTTCAATCCTGAGTCCCTTGCATTTATCGACTTCCAAAAATTAAAAGATAATAATTTAAAATTTAAAATTTTGTACAGCCGACTTCAATATAAGTTATTAAGAATAACTCAAAAACTATTGGTCTGACCTTGATCAAATTCATATGGGACCACACGAGAAGTAGCTTTAAAATAAAAAAAAGAATCATCGAAATCGGTTAACCCAGTAAAAAAAAACAAAAACATACAGTCGAATTGAGTACCGTCTCCTTTTTGGAAGTCGGCAGAAAAGCAAGACATTGACAATATAATTTTAAGTATGAACGATCGATATCGATATGTTTTTAATGTAAGAGGTGGAAATACTGATTATTATCTAATAATTAGATTTTATAAGATTTTTTTCAATTTTAATTAAAATTAATAGTTTTATAAGAAGAAATGAAGTCTTTTTATTATACTAATTTTTACTACGATTAAAAAAATTAACATTTTTATTTAAAACAAAAAATATACCAAATTGATTTTTTTATTTTTCATTAAAGACTAAAATAACCTATCATTTTGCCATTTACTATATCAGAAAATTCTTCATAGATTTTTAGATATTTGATGAAATATAAAATATCCCTAGATTCTGTAGATGTGTTTATATTCTCGGAAGACATGACATACCTACTACGGTTCTCGGGAAATCCAAACGTATTTGCGTTTAATTACCGGTTGCGTAAGTTTGCCTCAATGAGCACTCGTCCATGATATAACCACATGAGTAAAGAAACCGTGCATACAGGGTTAAGTATTTTGCAATAACTGGCCAAATTTGCAGAGAAGGTTCAGAATAAGTAATATAAAAAAAAATCTCAAATATTGTCCTTTTTATTTTTTAAATTCAAAATGCCTGGTAATGCAAAATTTTAACTGGTTTTACTGCGCACGCACACATTCGTAAGAGTCGATCGGTAGGCAAAAACGTTGTTGCCCATAAATCACATTCAATTAGGGATCATTTCAAATAAAAATAGAAGCCTTATTTAATCGTATTTTCAAAAACTGCAATAACGGTATATTATTATTTATATAAATTTAAGTGTGAGTCCTTAATATTGCCTTATATTGGAGCTAAAGAGTTATTTGCATACCATTTTAAAAAAATCTCTCTGTTCCAAAGATAAGTCTGTCTGACTTATCTTCGGAATGGCTGAACCGGTTGTAATAAAACTTTAAGAACGGATAGAGAGCAGTGCCACGAGTGATCTAGACGATATTTTATCCAAAAAACTTGAACTTGGATGACATAGCCGGACGGGTAGTTAGTATGTATACATATAATATATTATAATATTAAATAAATAAAACCGGCCAAGTGCGAGTCGGACTCGCGCGTGAAGGGTTCCGTACCATCGTAGTACATGTTGCTAGTAGGGGAACCCCTTAAATTTAAAAGGGGCCGTGAAAGGCAACAGACAACTGAAAATAATAAGAAAACTACATTTGCCAACCCGACTGTCAAGCGTTGGGACTATAGAAAATAAAAGGGGGATTTAAATGGGGGCAATCAATGGGGAAGGCCGATTTATAGCAGTAGACTTTTGATAGGCAGTAAGAAATGAATAAATGAATGCTGGAAAAATATCGTGAAGATTAAATAATAATAATAATAAAATATTTATTCATTGACCAAAAGTAACAAAACATTTAAAAGTTAAACTAATACAAAATTAATATTTTAAGAAGGAAAATGAAAAGGTTCTGTGTCGCAGAGAATCTACAACGCTGTTATTCTGTCAGCACCCGTAAACTTAATCAACTACTAAAATACTAATTACTAAATATAAAACATTTTGAGTACATGTAAAGTCCGGAAACAGCACTGGGCCTCTCAATTTAGGAGAGTTGAATGTCTGAAATTTATTCATTCGTTTGATGACAATATTAATGTATGATATTTTATAACATACTAGCTCACCATGCAGACGTTGTTCTGCCCTTTCCAACGACCCTTCCTATAAAAATCCTTAAATTCGCAAAAAAAATTTGAGGGTCATTTATCAGGATAAAAACTATCCTATCTCTCAAGTTGGACCAAAATGCACACAGTGTGCAAAATTGCATTGAAATCAGTTCAGTAGTTTAGGAGTCCATCGGATCGGACAAACAACGCGACACGTACTTTTTATATATAAAGAAAATTACAACAAAATCTATTTTTATTTATTGTGCAACTGGTGTTAAGAGTGCTGTTTTTTTCTCGCCCAAAATTCTGAGTTCAGCCATTCACCGCGGGGAGTAGGACTGTACATATATGATAATTTCAGTTTTAGTTTTTTTTTTAAATTAAGGAATCAAATCATTTTTGAATGTTATATAAATAAATGATTTTGAAACAAAATTAATATTATTCGACTGCCTTCACTACTAAATTTATTTAATACATATATTTAAAAATTACATTGTAATTTTTTTTATAATGTACAATTTTTAATGCAAAATATGTATTTAAATAAATATAAGGGCGACATTATAAAAAAGTAATGCACGCAATTTATTTGAATTTAGGCAAAGAGGACACTAGTTTCAACCTTACCTTTTGTGTTATGCAGCACTGAATATTCGACTCGCAACAAAATTTCACTTTCGAACACACCTGTTTAATTTATTTATCTGGTACGCGTGCTCATCACGTCGCGGATGTCTACCGACTGGCAACAAACAAAGCAATATCTCACGAGACACTGGCAGTAACTGGCAGTGGCAACGGACTGGCGAAAAACATATCTCACAGATTTTGCAACTTTATTTTCTAAATTATTTAAATAAACTTTATAGAGTCTAAGCTAGTTTTAAATTTGTCTAACACATGTTTTGTTTTTAATATATACTCTGTGTGTTTCCTACCGGGGCTACAAGTTTCGAATCAATCGCTCAGGAAATATTATCGGAAGATTAACACTTATGGGATAAAATTGTAGATATCTTACTATATATATATCGTGTTTTTGCAAGATTAACGGACAGCAATTGTTTTTATATTTATACTTGGACCGATTATGATGAAAGTTTTGGTGTGTGTTTGAGTGGATCCCTGAATGATTTACATTCTCTATTGGATGATGGTAAGAGGATGCTGCGGCCCATCGGCATTTAAATTTATCCTCGATTAAGAATCAAAATGCAGATGCGTTGTCACCCGTGAGGACTAAGATGGAATGCCTCGTTTCCTGTAAAAAGTCTCCGATTTTTTAGACAATCACCATACGAAACACAGCAGCATTAAGCTGCTATTTTACGCTGGTATTCTGTGAGAGCGTGGTCTCCTACCCCGGTCGAGCCGACCCATTCGTGCTACAACCATAATATGTATTATGAATTTAGTTATACATATATTATGCTATTATTTATTTTAAAAAATTGCAAAAAATAGTATATATGAGACCCATTAAATAGTTAATATATAGAGCGTTGCTGCAGCTTTAATATGGAAGGCTGCATAATTCCACGTTGGTATTCTATGCAATGTAAACAGGAACGTTACCCGATCTGCTTTAAATGTGGCTTAAAAAACTTTACTTACCCTAATTGCCCTAAATTTAATTCTGAAACGAAACAAAAAAAAAACTACTTGGCGAAGACTGTTGCACGTCAGTAGTAAATAGTATATCGAAAACATCTTCTAACTTTGATAAGGAAGACTGGGAAAATTGGTTGACTACAATAAAAAATTACGTTTCGGGTTATCCTATTGCAAAAATATATAAAAAACCTAACTCTGATGTACGCCCTTATGTTACCGTCACAGTAGGAGACAAACCTATGTGTGGGTTGCTCGATTCTGGCTCAGTTGTTACAATACTAGGTAACAACTCTCATCTTGACCTACCTTCTTCTTCTAACTTATCCATTATCAAATGCGACACCCTTCAATCATTTATTTCAGCTAGTGGTCATAAATTATCTGCGATCGAGTATATTAATCTTCCCGTTAATTTTGAAAACCAACTTAATTACCTAAAAACCTATATTATTCCGTCAGTTACATCACCACTCATTTTAGGTGTAGACTTTTGGAAGAAATTCAAGCTATTCCTAAAGTTCTCTAGATCTATTACACTATCTCATACTAACGAGCAGCAAATATCTTCTTTTAATAATAATTCTATAGCCTCATGTTCTTATTATGATCTTAATGAAGTCCATAAGAATTCGGAAAATTCCAAAAATTGTCATACTTATAATTTACGTCGTCGGCCTGTTGAATATAATGTAGGGGACATGGTATGGAAGAGGACATTTTGTCAAAGCGATAAAGATAAATACTTTAATAAAAAATTAGCTCCAAAATTCACTAAATGCAAAATTATTACTAAGAAATCGCCACTTGGGTACGAATTATCTGATATATTGGCACATAAAAGACCTAAAACTTGCAATTTATACAAAATAAATATTTTCCTCAGTACCTACCTAGTAGACTAGAAACAGATTTTACTACTAAAGACGCAAAATCCTTCCTCAGTTGGCGGGGTACTGTAACGGTGCATCTGCATGCACCCTTACATATAATTAATCAATCTTAAATAGATAATAATATAGATATAATCTTAAATAAATAATAGTAATATAATTTTTATTATTAATAATTCTAATCGAAAAATAAAAAGTAATAAATGATTACATATTGTTAATTTAAAATAGTTATTCTACGGAACCATAGACTAGTTAATTTAATCCGCGGAGCGTGAACCATTTTGCTCACCGATCTCTAAAACAAAAGACTCGGTAGGATTCGGTCACGACGACGAGTCCCCGTTCGGGCCATTCCTTTTTCATTATCTACCTGATGGCTCCAGTACACGTTGCCGAGCGCGCTCGCCGAGTGCGCTCGGCCAACGTGTACTGGGCCGTTTTGTATATATTTGGCGTTTGCGGCCAACGCTCGCCGACGAGTCGTATTGTGTCGGTTTTCCGTGCACAAATCAAACGAATTTGGCGCAAGCCGCAAAGTGTTCACACGTTGACCAAGTGTTCAGTTCATAGTTACGCGTGGTTACGCGTCGGAGTAGACTGTAGTGTCGGCTTAATAAAATTGTTTCAACATGGCGACATGGACTAATGAGGAAATATTTATTTATTTATTTAACAGTTTATGTACACACAGTACGATAGGAAAATGGTAAAAACATAATTATGTACAAAGGCACTGCCTATACCATGATGAAATTTCTTCCAGCAGGCCTATTGAAGGATAGTTGAAGAAAATAGAGGTAGCCAAAGTGTGCATTTACATAAATATACATATACAATACAAATACTTACATAAATATACATATATATATGCATATACATACATACACACACACACCCATATATATATATATATATATATATATATATATAAGGTACGTTGGGGTAATACCGGACGGATTTTCGAATAGTTGGAAGAGTCTGCCAAAAACTTTAATTTCTCGACATTCGTATACGTCAGATTTATGGAACATGGAGCAAACCGTTAATCGTTAAACGTAGTTTAGCTCTGAGAATCTTTTGCTTATGTAAACTCAACGGTTTCTGCTTTAAAGGTGTGCGAAAACTAGACATACTTTTTTATATGCATAATGAAAAATTGGCCATTAAGGGGTAAGACCGGACTTAAATTTAAAACCACTTCTACTGCTTAGAGAAAAAAAGTTTATAAAAGAGATTTGTCCTATCTTTAACGCTCAAAAACATATTTCAATATGATCTATAAATTACTAGAAACATAAATGTTCCAAACGATTTTCTCTTTTTTTGTTTCTTGCCATCCGATCTTATCCCTGATATAAAGAAATTGTCATTTTATGTTTCTCAAACTTTGTTATGACATAAGATGGAATTACTCAATATAAGAGAAAGATCGGATGCATTTGATTTTATATGGAAAAAAAATAATAGTAAGGACTGGCGTAATGCCCTGGGATAATGCAGGAGTTAAGGAAGATATAAATATTTTAACAAAGCGGCATTTATTATTATAAATTATTTTTTAAATAATTATTATAAATTACATTTTGATTTGTACTTAATAGAGGATAGATATAGATGTCTATGGGCCGCAGCAATCACTTAACATCAGGTGGACTGTGTGCTCCTTTGTCACCCTTATCCTATAAAAAAATGTATTTTAATGTGTACTTAAAAGTAATAAAACCATCATATTGTTTTATTACTTTTACATATACAGACTTGCTAACGAGACTGAGTCCCATAGTCACTTGAGTAATCAACGAAAAAATATACACGACCAATGAAAGTTTAACAACCACTGCCATATTTGTAACAGGCAAAGATCGGATAATATTCATCCGATCTTCACTCACGAGGGGACATCGGATCTCGGCCTACAGCTATCTTACCCCTGCATGGACCAGCTTTATTTAGCTATAACTTCATAAAAAATTAGTATCCACACAAAATAATAAAAAAAGAAGCCATATTCTCGCTAAAAATCGTAAATAAAAGTGATAGGGAAAGATCGGATGGACAAAAATAATACAAAAATTACATTGTTTTATAAAATGCCACGCAGCACAGGTCCCAATTGCCGGAGCACTCTTATCTATGTGCCGGAGTGACTGGCGCGAACTGAGGGTCGGGGCAGGATGAAATGGCGTCGTGTAGCATATTGTTAGCTTTTCAAAATATAGCTTAATTCGCCGGGAATTTGAATCCTACGGTCTTGCCCCATCACCGATCTTACCCCAACGTACCTTATATATATACGCATGTATATATATAAATAAATATCATATATTATGAAAAAATATATAATTCAATATAATATATTTTTAATGTTACTTATATGCATACCAACACGATTTAATAATTATGGAGTGAAATATTGATTCATTGTTCATTGATTGATCCTCACAATGAATCAGTTATATGGAACCCCAAACATGAGCAACATAAAAATAAAACCAGAGTAACTTGCCTAACTGCATTAAATAATACATGTTTAGTTGCGATTTCAGAGTACCTACCTAATGATAAATATTATTATAAATTATTCCTGCGTTTATGTTGCTCAGGGATAATGTAGCTTAGGGGCTTCTTTTGGGCTATCATTTATTTCGAAAAAACCCCCAGCGAAGCGGGCACGGGTCAGCTAGTAGATCCTATAAAGGTTTCTTTTTTCCTTTTGAGGTCGGAACCCTAAAAAGGACAAACTGGGATTGTTGTTGTATGTGTAGTTTTTTTTTCGTTCACTCTGAGAAGAGTGAAGCGCTGTATAAGTATATGACAGCGGCCGCAATTGCCCTAACGTCCATCATCGTCTAGCTACCAACGCAGAATGAAACACGCCAACGTGTGAACGGCACCACGAAAATCTGCCGAGTGCGCTCGCCAAGCGCGCTCGGCCAACGTGTACTGGAGCCATGAGACTGCTTCAAGTTCGCAACGCGCGTGACCTTCCTACTAACGACCGTTGAACTTGCTTGCCTACATTTAAAATTTAAATTATTCGAGGTGCAGTTGATCCCGCTGGGGATCTACCTACTACCTAAGGGCTACTGCTTGCCGAGCCGCGAGCTAACGGACTGTTGGCCTACCCTCCTACCAACGGCCATCATCACTGTCGGGCTTGGGCACCACCGGCTCCTTCTGCTAGCTGGCTGTTTACGACCCTGAGGGAACAGCGCTTAGACTTGGCCCCTACGTCAGACCAGTGAGCCCCTTCATAGAAACTTACTTGTACGTGTGCGGAAGTAAGATAATTAAATAATTTACTATAAATCTTGACTTTTTAAGAACCCACCTACTTCTGAACCCCTAACGGTACAGTGGAACTACTTATTTACATATCTTTTGTTGGTTTGATTTTTTTTTGTTTTATTATCTGAGTCATGGCAACTAATCTTTCACATTTTTTTTACAACCATCAATTAAAGTATGCATATGAAAACGTAATGGGTACACCATACGTAAACATACAATAACACAATACTTTGTATACGTATTTATAGAAAGTTACTTTTCTCATAACGAACACATCTAAGAGCCTATACATTTGTTGATATGGCATTACAAAAGACTTTGCAGTACTGCAGATTATGCCACAGTATAAATACGAGTGGTAGTATAGATATTTTTTTTATTTTTTTTTTCTAACGTGTCACCGCGCTACTGAAGTTGAACGCAAAAAGGTTTAGATTCTAGCTGGAAAAAAGTTAATGTAAACAACGTACAACTAGACTCCAAAAAAAAGAAAGCGGCTCTAAGTTTAACTAGATATATATGTTTATATGTAGATTTATTATATTATTGTTTTATTTATTTATTTCACGCAGTGCCCATATTATGTGTTATCAACAAATTAAATTATATCTAGGGTTAGTAAAAAAATACATTAAATAGTTATAAAAAAATAAAAGAAAAATTAAACAACATACACACTATGTGGACCCGCCCTCACGCCTGTAGAAGTGGCAAGTCCCAGCGATCAAATATTACATGATATCTTTTTCAATTAAAAACCGATTATAACAATTATTTTTTATTGAAGTATGTTATAGGTACACGGTTGTCCCATATAAATTTTAAGTAAAATTCCACACCTAAGAGACTAATTTAACTATCTAGACGACATTCGAACTTGTGATATTTCTTAGTTTACTAAACGCAAAAGCCGACTTCAAAGGATCGCCAAAAGAAAGTCGGGCCTTTGATAATTCTGATTCCGATACTTGGGTACTACTACTGACTTCTGCTAATTATGTGCTTTATCATTTTTAGTTCTGAAGTCGGCTTTTACGAGTTTGCTTTTCTGCTTAAAAAAGTTTTGTTTGAAAAAAATAATCTCGAATACCAATTACATAAATGATTTTTGTATTACTTAAGTGGTATTTATTACTGTAAAACTACTAGATACTGTAAATTCATTCAAACTACATAAAAAAAAAAAAAACTTAAAAGCTGAAAGTAACTAGGGTTCACAATTATATTAGGATTTAAAACACCAATTGTTGTAACCTTAGCGATGCAAAGAACTCGAAAGATTGAAGCGTGAGATAAGGATGTGGACTTTGAACTCGGAAAGTCGATGGTTTGAATCCGTCATTTGCTACAGTTGTGAACCACTACAAACATTAGCATTTGAAGCTTACTTGGAGTTGTTAAGGGTAGCATCGGTGATGTTATAGCGTTACTAGATACGTGAGGGTAATATGGTCATCTGGTTAATATGGTCACTTTCTTATAACTCAAAAACTACAACACATTTGCGTAGATGGTTTCGTGATACGATAGCTCTTCACCAGTTTATCATATAATAATGGGTCAAAACGGCGCTGCTTTATCGACGCCATTTTGACAGTTGAAATTATTGTAAACTAGCTGATCCCCGGGACTTCGCCCGCGTGTAATTTGGGGTTTTGATTATATTGCTCAGAACCCTAATTATTTTCTAAAATAAAAATAGCCTAAGTTACTCCTTAGAACATCAGCTATCTGCCAGTATAAGTCCCATCGAAATCGATCCAGCCGTTTCGGAGATTAGCTGGAACAAACAGACAGACAGACTTTTTAAATTGTATCTATACAAATAAATAAAATTGAAGTGTCTGTTTGTAATGTCAAAATAACAGCTTGTTACTAAATGCACATGAAAGTATATACGGTACTTATAACAAAAACACAATTTTAAAGCTTTTGTCTGTCTGTCTGTTTGTTCCGGCTAATCTCCGAAACGGCTGGACCGATTTCGACAGGCAGATGCCAGTGAAAGTCCCTGAAGCTGAAGCTGAAGTTATAAGGAGTAACTTAGGCTACTTATATTTTAGAAAAAGAATTAGGGTTCACGCAACATAATTAAAACCCTAAATTACAAGCGGGCGAAGTCGCGGTGAACATCTAGTTTTTATTATAATTATTTTAAAAGCGGATTATAAGTACCGTATATATTTTCATATGAATTTAGTAAAAGGCTGTAATTTTGACATTACAAACAGACACTCCAATTTTATTTATTTGTATTGATGAAGTTAAACTACTGGGTATTTTCATTGCTCTGTGGGTACCATAACTGCTTTGTCACTTTGATAGAGGGTCAATGTACATTGGAGAAACGTATTCCTCGTAAGTTACCTATAACTTGTCACATTAGGACGTTGATGCGATGGCACCATGGAAATACATGTACTTCGTGGATGGCACTTTCTAAAACCTTCGCTAAGTGTTAGAACTTGTTAGCAACTCATTGTCTGCGATTGTAAATGTATTTTGTTTGTCTATGGTTAAATTTCCGCTTTAGCTTTGGAATTTAATGTTTTTTTTTCTTTGCGTAAGGTTAAAGTATGAGCATACAGCCTACCTGACAGTAAGTGAATGCTGTGGCCCACAAATACCTTTTCGTACATTGCCACAATTATACGAATATATAATTATGTGATAAAGCTACTCATAGGTGTTGAGTAGCTTTATCACATAATTATGGTGTATGAATGGGTCTGCCCGATCAGGAAAGGACTTTTACAGAATAACAGCGTAAAATAGCCATCTAATGCTGCTGTGTTTCGTATGATGAGTGTAACCAACCCTTTTTACTGGTGGGGTTGTTATAAACTAATTTGTTTAATTTTGCGTAAAGAAAGAAAATGATGTGTCCTGCCCGAGCGCACTATACGGGTCGCCGTCAATCCCAGCACTACCATCCACCACAGCACCACCACACTAGGCACAACACACCACTCTTGAAAATACGACACGTGTTTCGCCTTTGGAGGCGAAACGGGTATAGTGCGCGCGGTTGAGGGAGGGTAGGAGGCCCGGGAGGTGCCCTTAAAACTGGGCAGGACACATCATTTTCTTTCTTTACGCGGAATTAAGCAAATTTCTTTATAATAACCCCATTATAATGGATCTCCGCAAGGTAGGTAACGCCTGATTCTATTAATTATCTGCCGACTTCCAAAAAGGAGACGGTACTCAATTCGACTGTATGTTTTTTTTACGTGTTACCTCATAACTTTTTACTGGGTGAACCGAATTCGATGATTATTTTTTTGTTTGAAAGCTGGTACTTCTCGTGTGGTCCCATATGAATTTGATCAAGGTCAGACTAATAGTTTTTGAGTTATTCTTAATAACTTATATTGAAGTCGGTTATACAAATTTTTTAATTTTAAATTATTATAAGACCATTTTTATTGCAAGCATGGCATGATCTTAGTCCTGAGGGGACTAATATAGTGTCAGTGCATCAGTGTTTTGATTCTTAATCGTGGATGGATGGAAATGGATGGCCACAGCATCCACTTACCATGAACTGGCCTGATGGAATGCCACATTACCGGTAGGTAACTGGGTCTCTACTCCTCGTAAATCATTTTAAGCTGTGACAAAGTTGTAGAGCAGGTGTAATTGAAAAGGCGACTTAAATTAATAAAAGTTTATTCAGTTTATTTATGATACATTCCAAAAGGATAAGCATTCAACCAGAAAAAGAAACTAACAACAGAATAAAAAAAGTGTGTGTGTGTGTGTGTGTGTGTGTGTGTGTGTGTGTGTGTGTGTGTACTTATGTACGCACGTAGGAAGTTAAACATATCTAGCGTAACAAAACAAAAAAAAAACTTGAGAGATAATTCCCACTGAAGTTGTCGCTTTTATGTGTCAGTGTGCGCCCGCATCGTAACAACTTCATAGTGTCGGTTTTAGGTGTCGGAGTGCGCGCGCATCGTAAATATTCACTCGCATCATTTTTCCCAAGCGCCCCAAAAGAACTTCAAAATTATCCTTTCCAGTCCATTAGATTAATGTCTTCTAATGAGTTATGTGTCATTCTTTGGGGGTAAGCCTATGTTCAGCAGTGGACTTGTGAAGGGCTGTATGATGATTCTGATGGTGATGAAATGCAGCGGTGAAGAGTTTCGGTGATATAATATCACTCTGTCTTACTATATTATATAGGATAGTCATCATATCATTACTGTTCACAAAGTTCAGTACTACGATATACCGACAATCCACCTGGCACCTAATGTGACTGTGGCACGACCCAAATTCTGACGGAATCAAAGGCTTTCCCATAATCTCTTCTTTTCTTCGCTCTACAGTACAATTTTTAATGTACGTAGTGCTATAGACCACATATCTACATACCATTTCGAAGGATATGTATGAGGACTATGGTACCCTTCGTAACGACTCTCGAAAACACAAGATGATACCACCATATCGGAAGAAAGATTTGCTTTGTGATTTGATCAATTAATGTATTCTCTAGAGCCATCAAAATATGGCGAATACTACTTATTTATTAGACGAATTCATTTTATAACGCTGGCCACTGAAATGTTAACTGTCACAAGGGAAAATAAAAACCAAACTTTCATAAATGACGTACGTAATATTAGGTATATTATGTTAAATTCATTTGTCAAATGTTCAGAATCGTATAAAAATAAACATTTTAAAAATCGTCATTTATAGTTAATATTTACAAAGTAAACATGTCGAGTTTCTCCTCACCTATTCCAATGTCGGAGATAGAATCAGTGCTGGCTTGGGTTGACACATACAAGCTGTCACGACCAACGAAGAAGATCAATAGAGATTTCTCTGATGCCGGTAAATGTTACGTACTGTTTAGAAATAATCGTATTTTTTAATTAACAATGTTGCTGTGTTTTGGGGGCGTCAGAGAACCAAATACAAATTCGGAGTATTTGTACTTGGTGAGTGAGACGACTGTCGCTGAAGCACGAGGCCCTGTAGGGTACATCATGTTGATAAATATTATGGTTAATGTTGTGTATCACTGACAAAGACTATAAAGCCAATGAAATAAAACCTATACAATACATATATGCTAATGGCATGTGCCTGTTGTTTACTAGTAAGGACTTATAATGAAGCTTGTACTAAAAATATAGGAAGACTGAGCGGACAACCCGATTGGCATATGATAACAGCCTAATACTTACACTTCAATAACACATAGTGTATGCCATATACATTCTCTATACAACAGGCTAGCTAAAAATGCGCACTTTGGTGATACATAATATATTATGTATAAGTGTTACACGACCTACCTGTGAGTGCTTGCGTAGGGGATAATATCATATCAATTTTTTGAAACAAATACATACTCAGGATTGTTCATTCTTCATTTTAGTTACCATGTAGTGAAAGAATATCCATTACCTCATATCGTCCCGTGGATGTCGTAAGAGGCAACATAGGGAAACTGAGACAGACATTTTGATTAAAGGTTTATTTTTGATAATTGATAGAATCAGGCGTTACATTGCGGAAATCCATTATAATTATATATTATTGTATTTTCGAGAGTGGTGTGTCGTGCCTAGTGTGGTGGTGCTGGGGTTGGTAGTGCTGGAATTAACGGCAACGGGTATAGTGCGCGCGATTGAGGGAGGTCCACCTTAAAACTGGACAGGACACATTTTCTTTCTTTACGCGGAATTAAGCAAATTAGTTTATAACAACCCCAAATATATTTTATTCATATTCTGGATGGGCAGCAGCACCTCCCTGATAACAACCAAAATATTTAAAAAAAAACTGCGGTTGTCAACCCGCCTGCCGGGCATGGCAACTATTGCAAAACATACAGTGGACTTTTATAGGATGTTGATGGATGGATGGACTTGGGAATTGTTGGTAGATAGAGAAGCAGTTTTAATTAGGAGTAACCATTAAACGTAGATTTGTTCAAAATCGGATCTATTTATTTTACTATCAAATTCAATTAAGTAAACATGTTCTATCAATAGTGAATTAGGTCGTGCATTAATTAAGTTAATAATTAATTAATTAATTGTCGCCGCACATTATTAAATACAGATGAAAATGAAATGTCGAATTATTAATATTAATGTTAAAACATTCTCAAAAACTTTATTAGCTAAGTTATATCTAACGACCGTAGATTGTTTGATTTGCCTTTGTTTTTTTATAGGAGAGGGGGTAAACCAAATGAGCATGCGGCACACCTGATGGTAAGTGACTACCGCCGCCCATGAACAACTGCAACACCAGAGGAATTGCAGATGCGTTGTCGACCTTTTAAAAAGGAGTAGGCTCTTTTTTTGAAGGTCCCTAAGTCGTATCGGTCCAGAAAAATCGCTGGTGGTAATCGATTACACAAGGAAGTTGTGCGAGGAAGAAAACTTCTTCTAAATCGCATAGTGTCCACCGCCAATCATCCAGATGGTATGGATGGTATTGCGAGTTTTGTCGCGATGTGCGATGGTGAAATTTAGCGACTGGAATTAGTCCGAACAATTCCTCAGAGTACTCCCCGTGGTACATGCGATAAAATACGCAAAGAGATGCAACATCTCTGCACAGTGCCAGTGAGTCAAGCCGATCTGAAAGAACTTTTTTTTATTTTGTAATTAATTTAAGCGTAGTTAGTTAGTCGAGCACATTCTGTGTTATTCAAGCCAGAACGATAGCGACGATTCCTCCCTAACGATGTTCTGAATTTTATAATGCCACGATTTAGTGAGGGATTGGTGACAGTTAATATAGAGTGAGAAAAAAAAATAGGGACTTAATATTTAGAGGAGCTAAATGCCTTTTTGTAAGGATATTTCGATTTCAAGCCTCACCTCCTTCACCAGTATTGTCTGAGTGTTTTTGCTGTTTCCTACCATATCAGTGGATTTCCAGAATAAATAGAAATAGCCCAAAAATATCTAAAATTATAACTTAAATGCATGCTTAAAAATTGCTATTGAGAACAGCAATTTTTAAGCATACTAGGTATCTAGATATGCTATTTAGCACCTGAAGGCCTTTGAGGGCTCAGTAGTCCGGCTTCAGTCGCCACTTTTTTTATAGAATAAGGGTGACAAACGGGCACACAGTCCACCTGATGGTAAGTGGTTGCCGGGGTACATAAACATCTACATTTATCCTCGATTAAGAATCAAAATGCAGATGCTTTGTCACCCCCGAGGACTAAGATGGAATGACTCGTTTCCAGTAAAAAGGGAGGCGCAGTTTTCTACACTCAACATACGAAACACAGCAACATTAAGCTGCTATTTGGTGACCTGTAATAGAGGTTTTTATACCTACATTAGGCACCAGTCTCTCACAAGTTAGCTACCAGTCTGGCAATTTTGTAATACTTAGCATTAAGTTACCTATTGTAAAGAGAAAATAAATTCATTCATTTTACGCTGGTATTCTGTGGGAGCGTGGTCCCACCCCGGTCGAGCTGACCCATTCTTGCTACAGCAATAATATTGCTGCAGCATGGCTCTAGCACGTTTTATCACTGTCAAAGTCATGTCAAAATTGTGGGCTGTTTGTGATGTGTATTTAAATCCCGAACGGAACAATTATCTGAATGGCTTGCAAATTATTCTTCCGGGTCTGGATGCTGTCCTTGTGGAATTTATGTTTGTTAAACGCCTCGGTGATACATAGAAATTCCTAGTTTTTAACCGACATCAAAAAAGTAGGAGGTTCGCAATTCAACTGTATTTTTTTGTGTGTTACCTCTGAACATTTTTCCAGATGAACCGATTTTAATGATTCTTTTTTATTTGAAAGCTGGTGTTTCTATTGTGGTCCCGTATAGATTTGATCCAGATGTGACCAGTAGTTTTTGAGTTATCCTTAATAATGCGTATTTAAACGACTTCGACTACATTGATGATGTTCTCATTTTATTTATATTGAAGTCGCTAGTACAAAATTTTTAATTTTACCACATTGTTAATTAAAAATGTAATTTTCATTCATTGAAGTAAAATGTACTATGTTCTAGAACAGACACCGCAAACAAAACTTATGCAGCAGTACGGCACAGACCACACACTTAGTAAGTTTGAGCCCGTGGACTCTAACGCGTGTTGCAAACAACAAAGTCTCGGCGTCTCTTCTAGTACGTAGTACACATTACTTCAATGCTTTCACTACACACGAAACATCTTTTCTTTCAATATTGTAGTGCTCCTTGCCGAAATCCTCAGTGTGCATTACCCAAAACTGGTGGAAATGCACAACTACCCTCCACGCAACAGCCACTCGCTAAAGCTGAACAACTGGATGACACTCAACAGGAAGGTTCTAAAGAAGCTCAAGCTGAACTTGTGCTGCAACACTATGGAGCAACTCGCCAATAACACTCCTGGCGTTATAGAGAGGGTACTCATAATGGGTAAGAATTCTTTTTTTTTAACTGTCTTCAAAAAGGACGTACTCAATTCGACTGTATGTTTTTTTATGTGTGTTACCTCATAACTTTTTTCTGGGTTAACCGATTTTGATAACTCCTTTTTTAATTGAAAGCTGGTGCTTCTCATGTGGCCCCGTATAAATTTGATCTAGGTTTGACCGGGAGTTTTTAAATTATCCTTAATAATTTATATTGAAGTCGGTTGTACAATTTTTTTTTCTTTTACAACTTGTTTAATTCTGATATACTGCTATTCTTACAATTAGAGCTCGTAAACAGTCTTCTAGAATATAAATCATAATAGATATGGATCAAGTACCCAATATTATCCAGAGGGTGTCGTAAGAGGCGACAGAGGGAAGAAAATCAAGAAATGGGCAGAAGCGTCTTTCTAATAATGACTAAAAATAAAAAAACTGCGGTGGCCAACCCGTTTGCCAAGCGTGACAACTATGACAAATATCCCTCATATGAGACAATCATAGGCTGTAATAGACGGATGTATGGAAGATAATCTACCAGGAGCACATGACCCACTGAGAGGTGAAATTATCAAATCAACAGTAACATTACAACTATGGAAAATATCCCCCCTATGAGGCAATCTATGGGGTAGGCCTATGTTCGGCAGTGGACTTTAATAGGCTGTAATGGATGGATGTATGGAAGATAATCTACCAGGAGAACATGACCCACTGAGAGGTGAAATTTTCAAATCAACGGTAACATTACAACTATGGCAAATATCCCCCCTATGGATGTATGGAAGATAATCTAAAAGAAGTAGTCCCATGGAACTCTTTTTTTTAAATTGCTAGACACGGGCCTTTCTTATAGTAGGGGGGATTTTCTGTGATCGCTACTGAGTATTTCGCCAGGCGTAAACGAGTTAGTTACACCGCCATCTTTCGGAAGTCATAAGATCATTTGACTTATGCCATAGTCGCCTCTTACCACACCCATGGGACTAAATGGGGTGATGGATTCTTTTACATCACCACCGCACGACAATAATAGGTGATAGAGCCACGCTGCATATATTATGGTTGTAGCACGAATGGCTCGGCTCGACCGCGGTAGGACGAATCATAAGCATTAAATTCTTAAATACCTGGGCGCACGACCTTTGCTCGTCGCTCGTCAGACAGGTCATACTAGTTCCTACTGCTTGATTTAAGGAGGTAGGTGATATTTATCTTCACTAAACTGATTGTGTTAGTTTCAATTCATTTTTATTGTTGCTTGTTTTTAATGTAATAATATGTTATAATACTATTTTGGTTTTGTCTTACTGTTATTTATTATTTAGGTTACCTAGTTTGGTTTGTAGGTATTTAGTCTATATCTATACAAATAAATAATATTGAAGTGTCTGTTTGTAATGTCAAAATTATAACTTTTTACTAAATGCATATGAAAGTATATACGGTATTTATAACAAAAATACAATTTTTACATTTTGTCTGTCTGTCGAATCGGCTGGACCGATATTGACGGGACAGTCACTGGCAGATATCTGATGTCATAAGCAGTAACTTAGGCCACTTTTATTTTAGAAAAAGGATTAGGGTTCTGCGCAAAAAAATTAAAACCCTAAATTACACGGCGAGCGAAGTCGCGGGGAACAGCTAGTCGTAAGTAAAATGAGTTAATACATGTATAGAATGATATTATGGTACTTATCTTGTCGGTGGACTTAAGACGACACATCGAAAACCGTTTAAGAGGGACTGATCGAGTTAGTTGGTACAGAATTTCTATAAAAACTTAAAAAACGCCGTCATAAGTTTTAAGACCGCTTAGAAATCCCTTAGAATCTTAAAAATATTTTTAAAAAAATTATTGATTTAAGTAATCAAAATAATGAGCAAGCAAATAACGAATATTGATGTTATGAATGTATTTGAGTAATTTCCAAGTAATTTCGTTGTAAATTCAACTATAGTGATTTTTAGATAGGTGTTTTCACAAATAATTATGATCGAGTCAAAATTATACAATCGTGTTTTTGAACAAGTAAATTCAAAATAAAAATTCCAGTTTCGTTAGTCGTGTCATAATCCTATGCTATTCGATGAAAGGAGGTGCATTTTTTGCGGTGTCGCCTTAAATAAATAAATTATATACTTTTTTTAAATATACTTTTTAATGAATTATATCTGCGACCTACGATATGTAATTTACAAATATACTATTTTTTTTATATCTAGGCCTTATATACAACAGCTAAATCAGAAAACAATAACAATCAATCTAATTTATATGTACTTATTGCCACTACAGTGCGTGACAAAATACGATGTGACGAAGATGCGAACAAGAGTATGAAGGACAACGAGCAGAATTTATCAAGTGGCGGCAGTTACTATGAGGCGTGTGGAGATGATGGTAGTGTATTACTGCGATTTATAATTCTATTCATCATTTCTTTAAACGATTCTATTATGCTTCCCTGTCATACCGCGAACGTTTTGAATATCCTCGTATTACGTGGTTGCTTAGACTCTTAAGCCGTGGTAGCTCAGATGGTTAGCGCTCGCTGTAAGCTTCCCAGTGCGCTAGTAATCCGGGTTCAATCCCCGCCGGCACCAAAGAAATTGTTAATTGCAATTTTAACCACGTGCTCGGCGGTGAAGGAAAACATCGTGAGGAAACCTGCATGTCTGAGATATAAGAAACAATATTTCAAAGACATATATTTCGCCAACACGCATTGGGGCAGCGCGGCGGACATTTTCTTGCCCTAAAACCCTCTCAGAAATGAGAGGAGGCCTGTGCCCAGCAGTGGGACGTAAATAGGCTGCAACTTTACTTTACTTATAGACTATATAAAAAAAAACTTTGTTGGTTTAGTAGTAAGTGGGGGCTGCTGCTCATTTGGTCCCGGGTTCGAATCCCGAGTCGGGCCAAAATCAGTTATTGGGTTGTGATTTTCTGTCGATAAATTCTCACTAACAGCCCGGAGTCAGGACGTTGGCGGTGTTTCACCCTGTCTGTACGTCTGACAACACGTAAAGCCGTTGGTCCTCCGCCTGATGTCGTTTCGGTTGCGTCGGATTGCCGCACCCATCGGACTATGAGAGTGACAGAGTAGTGGGCGCACTTGTGCGTATGCACACACTCGTGTATAATTTTTATACGTGGTAGAGCCATGCTGCAACTATATATTGGTAGTATAGTTGTAGCACGGATGGGTTGGCTCGACCGGGGAAGTACCACGCTCTCACAGAATACCAGCGTAGAATAGCAGCTTGATGCTGCTGTGTTTCGTATGGTGAGTGTAGAGAACCGGATACCCTTTCTACTGGAAACGAGGCGTGAGGACACGTGAGGACTAAGATGGAAATCTTAGTCCTCACGGGTGACGACACATCTGTATTTAGATTTGTAATCGAGGATAGATTCAGATGTCTATGGATCGCAGCAAGCACTTACCATCAGGTGGACTGTGTGCTCGCTTGTCACCCTTATCTTATAAAAAAAAAGTAATCTTGTCCTGTGCAGATGTCTAGTCTCCGTTGAAACTGGCCACTGTTATCAATATTTCATCTGGAGGACATTACATTACGTGGTAGTCACTCTGCAATATATAATGGTTGCAGCACAGATGGGTTGACTCGACCGAAGGAACCCGCTCGAATAAAATACAAACGTAAAATAGCAGCATAATGCTACTGTGTTTTGTATGGTGAGTGATGAGAGCCGGAGACCCTTTTACTGGTAAATGGCATTTCATCCATAGTGCATATTCCTAAGCGGTGATAACGCATCTGAATTTTGATTCTTATAAGAGGATAGATGTATGTAGGGTTGCCATATATCCTTTATTTTAAAGGATGTCTTCTATTTGAGACCATATATCCATCTGCTAGTTGAGGTCAAAGAGTTTAAAAATCACGTTGAATTCACGCGCGATATTAAATTGACAAACTACGTTATATACAGCATTTTATTGAAAATATCATAGGATGATATCCTTTATTTTTATCTTTGTCCTTAGTATAATATTATCAAGTTCTCTAAAACAACATAAAACGGGAGCTGGTATATCTTATGCCTGATGTTGATCCTTATTATACCGCCACCTAGCGGCAACGAAAATATCTCTTTGTTATTTCCTTGGCTTGCGTAGGCCATCATGTGGACATTTGAACTTAAACGTAAAGTTTTATATAAATTTTTATGATTTAGAGCACGTACTGGTTGTACCACTAAAGACCAGAGTGAATGGAGTCTTTGAGACTGTACAGCAGAAAGTCGTCAGCCATAACTCTTATCTGACGTTAAAGGAAGAGCTCAAGGATGCGAAGGAGGCCGTCGATGTACTCAGACAAAAGGTGACTGCTCCAGTGACATTTTAAACATTTTCTTCAGTTCATTTGCGTTGAGAAAATAGTGAGTCATAAATGCCCGGTAACTTATTAGAAACGTCCCTTGGGCAATACATCCGTTTTGCATAACGACCTGACAGATTTGATACTCTTTATATTTTTGCCATAGTACTATAGCTGCATTGTCAGCTATGAGGACTAACATAGAATGCTTCACAGTTTGTTAAATGTTGCGGGCCCTCTTTACCCTCTTTAGGGCTGTAGTGCTGCTTGACGGCAGAAATGAGTAAAAGATTGGTAACTACTCAGACGGACGGACGGACTTTCGGATTTTCTAACCTCGTCAGACCAAAGCTTGGGGGCCCTGGGGCACTGCCCCGCCTAGCCCCTGGGTAGCTACGCCACTGCTTGGTCTCTTGATTTCTGATTGATTTCTCAATGCAGATTGCAGGCACATTTCAGAGCTCGCGAAGCTTTGGGCTATGCAGTAAAGTGGCAGTGTAAGAGCGGTTAAGATTAAGCGGGTTTGCAAGTAGTGTACAAGTAGTATTTTCAGAATTACATTATCTTTCATGAACATACTTTAGAATTGTTCTTTCAATTACTATAAACAATCTAATACATAACTTTCGGGTATCTAAGGATAGTGCCCTGTAACAATAACTGTACATTGCATGCAATTAACTAATCCATTTTATTGTAAAACAGGTGGATCATCTTGATAGTTTGTTAAAACTAAAAGATGAAAGAATAGAAGAATTACAGAAGCAACTGGAGAGGAAACAAACAAGACGCAAGGAAGTAGAAGCACTGCAAAACAGTTTATCAGTACCTTTCGATACTTCCTCACCACCATCTCCAAAAGAAAAGGATGAAGTCCTCATACTCCCAGTTAAGACTGCATCAACCAAAATTTTAGAGGTTTCTAAAATTCCTAGACTTGAAGAATCAAAAATACTCAAGCTAGATTTGACCAAATCACTTTCAAAACCTATAATTGATATGAATAAATACAAATCCGTTGATGAATCAAATTTGCGAATTGACAAAATAAAAATTGACGACTGTAAAGAAATAGAAATTATTGAAATGAAAGGAAAGGATTTGCAAGACTTAGAAGAATTTAAAGACAGTGTAGGAGATGTCATATTAGGTGCGGAGACTTTAAATCATGCCGACGTTGTTAGTGATTTTATAGAGAATGCACCCGAAGTTAGTAATTGAAATTAGACTGTTAAATCATGTTTTAACATAAGGTCTTAAAAATAATATATTATAAACATTCGAGATAGCTATTGTAATTTTGCTATAGATTTATTTATTATAAATAAGGTTTAGCTCATTTAAAGAAAAAGAAAGAAAAAGTTTGTGGTCAAAGATTTAATGATTCGTGAATTGTGTAATTAGCCGGCTTAAGTGCAAAAATTTCAACGGACAATTGAACTTTTATTTCCACCATGCTTGCTTAGGATTAAATTATATCAGTGTATTATTTTAGTGTATAATGAATTTTTGTTTTTAATATAGATCTTTTCCAGTTTATATTAGTTTTTAATATTGTTAAAAACGTATTAAAATAAAGATTTACAAAATTTATTACAGTAGTTGGATTCATCAATGTGTATTTCCTTGAAAGATATCACATAGACTCGGACGCTCTTGTAGAATTTGCTGTATTTCGTGCGCTCTGCCGTTCTTTTGGTGTTCGTGTCTGTAACAATATTACCATTAGCACGGAACAATAGAAAGTAGTGTTTTTATAATGCAAAGGTGGTCAGCTTAATCGGATAATTTATTAATAAATGTTGGAAATAAAGAATGGTGTACTAAAGGAAATTCCCCCGACGTACATGTAAAAATCATCATCATCATCGCCTTATTCACCCGATACAAATCGACTGCTGAAAGGGTGTCTCCCAACAATTACCACATTTGACCACAACGAGCGTATCCCTTACGTCCGGTCTTTAGACCTATCGGTCTAATAGTAGTCTTTTTTCTGTTTAACCAACGGAGCATCATATTATAAGCCGAAACTTATTAAGAAATGGGAAACACTATACAACGTGTAACAAAAACCCTGTGGTTCCAGTTCAGTACGTTATCAGGATCAGAACTTTTTTTTAAAACTCTACCATAGTTTTTATAATTTTATTTCGATTTTTTTTAATTTTATGTAGTTTTTTTACCTCTTACTGACACCAGCCGATGCTAAAGCTAAGTAAAGTGGTGTCTTTGACAATCCTCTAACTCCCCAGACAATGCAGAGGTAATAAAACCACATACAATTTGCATACAATATTTATTTAAAATAAAATAAAAATATTATTGTTCGTGTTTTTTTAATAAAAGTTATTTCTATACGTTTGAATAATGATAACGTATCCTGATAACATACTAAACAAGAACCACAGGGTTTTTGTTACATATTGTATATTATGATTATTGAAGTTCTTCTCAGCGGTTTCGATTTTAGAGAAAACTATTTAATATTTTTCAAAACTATCGACTGGGAAGATGATGTGTGGATGATGGAAGATCATGTAAGTGCTAACACATAGATTAGTTAAATAAGTTAAGCTCATTTGTCCCAACTTGTAAAATATTTATATAATAATCGTCGGTACCAACACTACGTTATGTATTGCAAGGCGTGCACTCTTCGCTACGCCTTGCCTTTTGACTAACGCAGTCAGGGCACCATTGACTTTGTTCCCGGTAGCGACACGCCTGTACACATCTAAATCACATCTTCCATCCCGGCTAAAAGCACTCCCCAAGTATACAATTTCATTTACCTGTTCTAGACATTCCTGATTTACCCATATTTCACACTTCGTTCTCTCTTCGTCCCTTTCAAATACCAGAACCTTAGTTTTATTAGCATTCAAACGGAGACCTTTAATTTCACATTCCTCTTTCATACACGTGACTAATGCCTGCAGTTCGGCCTCTGATGGTGCAATAAGCACTGCATCATCAGCATACAGCAGACAAACTAACCTGATAAGATTAAGATGGTAGGCAGGCTTAAGCCTACCATCTTAATCTTATCATGTCAGAGACTCTAAGTAGAAAGAACACAATTATAATCGAAAAACAATAACTTGTGATTCTGTGAAAATATCGGCTTGTGCTGAGATTTGAATAGGACCAGCCGCGTTGTATTTTTTATCTGTACGATGGTAATTCACCGATCCATCTATCACATTTCACATAACGTGTGGTGGTGGCACAAGGAAGTCCACCATTCCATTTCAGTATTTAAAATATTAAGCCGGTGACGAAGTAGCTTAAGTGCGATAACGCCTTTAGTGGTAATTATGATAAATCCTCTCTTGAATGCCAGAGAACTAAGTTCAGCAGCGAATTTAAATGGGAAGAAAATGTTGAGATTCTTTCACACAAGTAAAACATTTAATACGTGGTAGAGCCATGCTTCAGTTCAGCTATATTAGTAGTATAGTTGTAGAACGAATGGGTCGGCTCGACCGGGGAAGGACCACGCTCTCACAGAATACCAGCGTAAAATAGCAGCTTGACGCTGCTGTGTTTCGTATGGTGAGTGTAGCGAACCGGAGACCCTTTTTACTGGAAAAGAGGCGTTCCGTCTTAGTCCTCACGGGTGACAACGCATCTGCATTTTGATTCGCAAACGAGGATAGATTTAGATGTCTATGGGCCACATCAACCACTTACCATAAGGTGGAATGTGTGCTCGTTTGTCACCCTATCCTATAAAAAGAACATCCATCTGATATGACTGGATTTGGTCAGATGAAAAGCAGAACATTATTAATAAGTATGATAAATCTTACACGCTGTTTCTGTCACATTCTCCGACAACTTTGAACCTGTTAAACTCAATCCTGCTATTGTAGAAGAGTTTCTTGTTGATTTCGTTTATCGCTTTCTTGATAGGTATGAGGTCCTCAACTAACAAAAAAAAATTTATTAGACATTACTGGTACATATTACATTACTAGATTACTTTAAAAATAATACAGGAGTTAAAAAAAAAACTTAACACACATTGAGCTGTGATGATCCTGTTATTTTATTTTATCCTGGTGAGCCTGATCAGGATACTACGATAAAGTTATTGAATTATTGTATTGTCATCGGTCCCAGATATAAGACAAATTTTCAAGTCCATTGACCGTCTACACGTTGGTGAAAATTGCATTACGAGTAAAAGATTCCGTTACATAGATAGATAGATACTCGTACACGCGAAGTTAATAAAAGCATGTTAAAAAGCCATCTAGATTTATCTCCGCGATGATTGCACATTAAATAAAACTAATTTAATCGTTGTCCGGATGACGTTCAGCTTTTAAATTATATTTTTGCTCTAATTTACATCCTAATGTTTTGATGGGTGCTACCAAATCCAAACCCAAGTATACCACTGCAAGACATATACTCTAAGGTCTTTTTGCGTAGACCAAAACTTAGGAGTTTTGGCGGGAATTTGACCGGTGGCGGTTTGCTGCTCCGGTATTATTGTTTAAATATTGGTTTGAAGTGGACTTTGATATGTAAAAGTGGTGCGATTTTGTGTATTAAGTATCTGCGCATGTGAACTATTAGTGGAAACTGTGAAACAAGTGCTCTGATGGTGATGTGATTCTCAAAATAAGGTGTCTGTGTGCTTAGGCGCCTCGAGATACCATCGCCAACCGTCTGCTATCTGCTGGCTCAAGTTGCCGTCAAAATCTCCCAAGGGCTGCACAATGTGACGCATCAACATATTGTGAAGCAGTATACTATGAAGGATAATTATTATAATATATTGTAACTTCAGGCTCAGAAGAGCTAGATCCCAGAGCCGTAAAGCCAGTTATTAAGAAGAAGACCAAAACGTATTATTTAAAAGTTTATGGAGTGTAGAGAGAAGGAGTACCATCTCTATACTATGAAAAGTATCCCTAAAAACGTGTCCAATAAGGGAGGCGCTGCAGTAGTATAGGAAAAATAAAAAAAAAAGCGCCAAAAGTAATTAGAGTAAGATGGAGAAATAAACAAGGACAGACCAATCCGCTTGGTTTTGTACTACGTAAATAGTTGAGATTTTGTATGCTGGCATTTTACTAATTACTCTAGTCATAAATTTTTTTAAATATTTGAATTCAGCTGACTTCACTCCGTTCACAACAGCTATCTTCATATCGTAGGTTTTCAGACGCCAGCGCTATTGTGGTAGGTTTTGGAACCTCTATTTTCAGTAAATACTAGGACACTTTTTCAACTTATGCCCCTTATAAGATGGTTCTCCTTGTACTCTACACTCCATAAAAAGTTGAAGGTAGCCGGAATTAACTATGACATCCGGACATCAAACACCTCAGTCATCTAAGGGTGCTTTAAAGTAATCGAAATGATGGAAATTAAAATTAAACCTTTATTGCTGCTTATCAATGTTTCGTAAAACTATATTTTATTCAATTTTTCGATGTAATTGTAATTTTTATGAAACCAACTTTCAATTCTTAATTTTTAATTATTTATTAATGCAAAAGGTAAGAAAACGTGCTCGCACCAACCTGATAGTAAGTGACTCCTGCAGCCCATGGACGTCAGTAAATTCCAGATTCCCAAGGATCGAAATGGAATTACTTTAAAATCCTCGGTACGACTTAGAATCGATGCATCAGCTTACGATTTGATTCGATTTAAAAGTCGACCTTTTTCGGAAAGAATCGACATTCCTACTGACGACGACAATGACTATGATTAGGCATATAGGTATATAACATTGCAAAAATAATTGAATTTCAATAATTTTTTTTCTCAAAAATTACGTTTCCGCATGTTGAAACTTTGTGTGTGTGCTTATAATAGTATAACTTTTCTGTAAAAATACGTATCAACACTCAACTCAATCAAAAGTATACTTGTTTTGTTTTGTTGCACAGAAACAGACAATAACGTAAGAGAGTCATGTCCAATTAATGATTTAGATAGGAAACAAGATCTATCATTTGACTTCAAGAAAAACGGTATAAATTAGAAAACTCAAATAGCCTACTATTATAGACTCTTCCATTTGTCTTCTCTCTTATACTCTCGTGACAAGTGCATGGAGGAACAGATGCTGAGGATTCTGATGTCTGCAGCGCCACTGAATTTGAAGTTTCAGTCCATTCTAAAAGCGGAGACTCCTCTACATGTTCTAAATCAGCCTTGTTTTCTTTCTTCTTACTCTCAATACGCTGCCTTAGAATCTCAAGTTGTTCTGTAATAGTAACAGTTAAGCTTTAGAGTTTTATAAGCGGTGATGGTGCATGATTGCGGTGAAAAGAATCCATCGCCATATATAACTCCGTGGGTGACTTAAGAGGGACAGAGTGAAACAAAATAGGAGATGAGCAGCAGCTAGGGTTGCCATCTCCTAAAATGAAAAAGCCGAACTCGGCGCTCCAAAAAGCCGGACGAAGTAATTTTTAGCCAAACATACCTTTCTGACGCCAACGGCTAAAGCCCGACAGATGGCAATCCTAGCAGCAGCATCTTCCTGATAATAATTCAAAATATTAAAAAGTGCGATTGCCAACCCGCCTGCCAAGCGTGGCAACTATGTCGAATGTCTCCTTTATGAGGCAACCTATCAGGGAGGCCTATGTTTGGCAGTAAACTTGGATAAACTGTAATGATCGGATTGATGAAAGGCTGTAAGTGCTAAGATCCCTTTGCTTTTCCTGCACGAGAAAGATAACAGAAAAGTTTTTATGCTACACATATGTTTTTTTATTGTGGAAAAGATATTCAAGTGCCAGTGCAGTGTACGTAGGTACTTAAAAATCCTATACAACTTGTACCCGATTTAACACTGTGGTAAGATCGGAGGCAGGCTAGGATGCTAAGTCAAGGAACTTAATACGATCGCAAACCGGACAGGATGGACCGGGTGGTTTGGATTCGAATCCGGAACCTGTAACGTTGTATCCAGGTGCTTTGTCGGCTAGGCTCTGCAGAGATCATCTAAGTAGCGTGTAAGGTGTAGCAATTCAATGTAAAACGCACCGGGCGTACAAAGCTCATATTCTTCATATGTCTTCTCAAAGTGCGTGAAAGGGTTCGCCCGCATGTACGGTGGAAGGGTTCGAATAAAAGAGTCCATTTGCATTCTCTGACACTTCTCCATCGGACACACCTGCAATGTTTTTTTTTTCATGTAATCAGATGGCATTCGTTTATTTCTACTCACCTGCGCGTGGTGTACCACCAGCAGTTTGATTGACAAGGCTCGGACGGTTGATGAAAAACTCGTACCAAAATGGTTGACTTATTTCACAGATGTAACATCAATACAAGAAGTTCAAGACGACAACTCGGTAGTGCGTTGATTAAAAGTTTGGTAGTATCGCTGCAAGACTGTGGGTTCAAATCCCGCAATGGATGAAGTGTTCGTATGGCTTACAAATATTGATAGGATCTAGTAGAAGTATAGATAACTAGTTAGATCTAGCTAGTTGGAACGAAGTTCCTTTCGTAGTATATTACTAAAAGTAGTATATTAATAAATGAATATGCATATGCGCACGCTTGGCTGAGTTACGGCATCATTCTGTGGGGTAACAGCACGGATGCAGCCCCTCTATTCATCGTTCAAAAGAAATTAATACAGATTATAGCAAATATAGATCAGACTAATAGCTGCAGACCGTTCTTTCTTAAATATAAAATATTAACCTTACCCAACTTATATATATTGGAGATGTGTAAATTTGTTCGAAAAAAATAAGCAATTTTATATAAAACGTGAAAATTTACCATGCAAATACACGTTACGACATAAAAATAAGTTAGTATTGCCAACTTCCCGATAAAAAGTAAACAGTTCTAGTACAATAAGTTCTTCCATAAAATTATATAATAAACTTCCTGACATATTAAAAAATTTAAATAATGATATCATTTACAAAAAAAATAAAACATTATTTTTTTTTCGAGTTTATGGCCTGGTATCTAGACCTTTAGGCCAAGTCTTAAGTATTTTTATTCGGTTTATTGTAATTTCCCCACTCCTTCATAGTATACTGCTTCACAATATGTTGATGCGTCACATTGTGCAGTTCTTGGGAGATTTTGGCGGCAACTTGATCCAGCAGACAGCTGATAGTTGGCGATGGTATCTAAAGGTGCCTATGCAAACAAACAGCTTATCTTGAGAATCCATCACCATCAGAGCACTTGTTTCACTGTTTCCACTAATAGTTCACATGCGTAGACACTTAATACACAAAATCGCAACACTTTTACATATCAAAGTCCACTTCAAACCATTATTTAAACAATAATACAGGAGCAGCAAACCGCCGCCGGTCAATTTCCCGCCAAAACTCAAATAAAACATTATCTAACTAATAAATGTTACTATAGTACTAATGAATATTTTATAAATAATACATATATAGGTTTTACAAAATGATCACTCATTTAAATTGAATTCTATCTCAATAAACCTCAATGACATTCTTATAAGTAGTTAAATAGGTACGATTCCTCTCTCTTAGCCCCTAAATTGCGTCCCCAACAAGGTCCATAACACTGGTCTCACATTATTTTATAACATCTTGTGTACATTATGGTTTAGCAATAAATGTTAGAGTTTGAGTTTGAGTTTACTATTGTCTATTAAAATGAAGCGTCATTTAAAATAAAATAATATTTCTTTTATGGCAAGATAAGAAAAAGTGCGAGGAAGATGGATATTAGTTTTTTTTTTTAATTACATTTCGCTCCCTTATAGCCACCAAGGCCGTTTACACTACGTTAGATGGGGTCGTGACGGAAAAATCTTACACTTTTTCTGGCCTAGCTCCCATCCGCCAAATTCGTACCGTGCGATAAGGAAATTTGTTTCAAAATTGCTACGCTTACAGGTTGTTATACACGTCCCACTGCTGGGCACCGCTTTTATACGTGGTAGAGCCATGTTGTAGCACGTTTTTTTATGTGTGCTACCTCAGAACTTTTTTTCTGGGTGAACCGATTTTGATAATTCTTTTTTTATATGAAAGTTAGTGTTTTTTATGTGGTCCCATATAAATTTGATCAAGACGTGACCAGTAGTTTTTCGAGTTATCCTTACTAATGCGTGTTTAATGGAGTTCCAGTACATTGATGATACATACATATACATAAACACTCACGCCTGTCACCCAGAGGGGTAGGCAGAGACTACGGACTTCCATTTGGCGCGATCCTGACACACCTCTCTCGCCTCTTTTACATCCATATATCTACGCATACACGCTCGTCGGTTATGGGTACTCCTAATCTGGCCCATTTTTAATGTATCGCCGATTTGGTCGATAAACCTTCGTCTAGGGCGTCCCTTCCCGACCCTGCCGTTCACTTCCGCAACATAAATTTGCTTTGTCACTCTTTCCTCATTCATTCTTTCTACATGACCAAACCACCGAAGCATTCCTTTCTCCTTGTCACAACGTCATCTTGCAAACCACACTTTGATGATGTTCTCATTTTATTTATATTGAAGTCGGTTGTCCAGATTTTTTAATTTTTACACTTGTTTTTTATTATTTAGACATGTAGGCTTAGTTAGTCGTTTCTATAGATGGACATTAAATGTTCAAAATATTCTTGGCTAGAGCAAGAAATTTAGCAGAGCACAATAACAAGAATTAGCAAAGAAGACGACCACTCTGAAGCAAACTGTGCGTGAAAGTGAACTGACGAAATTTTTTCATTTTTTTTAATATAATAATGGTGACAAACAAGCACACAGTCCACCTGATGATAAGTGGTTGCTGTGGCCCATAGATATCTACATCTATCTTCGTTTGCGAATTAAAAATGTAGATGCGTTATCAGCCGTGAGGACTAAGATAGAATGCCTCTTTTCCTGTAAAAAGGGTCTCCGGTTCTCTATACTCACCATACGAAACACAGCCGCATTAAGCTGATATTTTACGCTGGTATTCATTCTGTGAGAGCGTGGTCCTTCCACGATCGAGCCGACCCATTCGTGCTACAACTATACTATTAATATAGCTGCAGCATGGCTCTATCACGTAAGAAAAAAGAAATTGAGACAGAAATTCAGAAATTCAGAAGTGTAAGGTTAATCTGCTTACACGTGCTAGCGATTCTTTTGATCACATATACACGTGCCCTGACGGTGCTTATACATCTATACAAATAAATAAAATTGAAGTGTCTGTTTGTAATGTCCAAATAACAACGTTTTACTAAATGCAAGTGAAATTATATACGATACTTATAACAAAAACAAAACTTAAAAATTTTGTCTTTCTGTCTGTCGGTCTGTCTGTCTGTTTGTTCCGGCTGATCTCCGGAATGACTGTGCCGATTTTGACGGAACTTTCACTGACAGTTACTTGATGTTATAAGGAGTAGCTTAGGCTACTTTTATTTTAGAAAAATAATTAGGGTTCCGCGCAAAATAATTAAAACCCTAAATTACACGCGGGAAAAATCGCGGGGAACAGCTAGTATTAACTATTCTCTAACTATGTACCTAGGTTTCCTCTGAGCTGCTCGCCTACTGTGAAATTTATGGTGAAAGCGTAGCTCCTGAATTAACACGGCTCTTAGTCATTAAAAGACATTATGTAAATATGTGATAGTTATTACAGACTTTCGAATCTAATTGCCGTAATAGACAAAGATAAAAAGTGAGTAATATCTATATATTATTATAGTAATAATAGCAAAGAATATAAAGCAAAATACCTTTTCATTGTTAATTTTAGCGTCTCTATCGGGCACATGGCTTGGAATCATTTGGAGGCTGTCGTTGTGAATACTCCTGAAGCGGAAGCAATGGACATTAACAACACTATCTAATTGACGCCATTTATACAAAAGAAATATTATAGAATAAGGGTGACAAACGAGCACACAGTCCACCTGACGGTAAGTAGATGCTCGGGGCCATAGACATCTATATTTATCCTCAATTAAGAATCAAAATGCAGATGCGTTGTCATCCCAGGACTAAGATAGAATGTCTCGTTTCCAGTAAAAAGGGTTTCTAAGTTCTCTACATTCATCATACGAAAAACAACAGCATTAAGCTGCTATTTTACGCTGGTATAATCATATAAAGGGTTTTAATTTACGAATGAATGAAATAATTTGAATCTTCTTCTTTTAGTTTAAAAGCCAAGCCAGTGAGCAGCAGACATACGGTATTTCAATAAGCTTAACGGTTTTTTTTCAGTTAATCCCCTATATCTGAGCTACACGAAATGGAGAATCTTTAGTTTGACCGGGTTGATATGGACTATGGAGACGTTCAGGTGTGAAAGGTATAAAAAAATTACCGAAAAAAACGTGAAAGTAAGTCTGCCGCCTTGACATCCCTAAATATAAAAAAAGTTACTGAAAAATAACATTTGCAACCTATGGTTGTTCCAAGGTCATCGCAGATAGGTTGACAAGTACAATTTTTTCTTTATAATTTACGTTATTTCAATAAAATTGCAATTTATATATGTTGTTGATAATTTTATTTGACATATATATTTTGCATGGCAGATATATATTGAGGTGCTATCACCCAGGCAGAAGAACGAAATTCAGTGGCGTCCATGAGCGCGTACTAATCCAGTCTTTTTATTAACCGAAAGAAACGTGAAGCTTATTGAAACAGCGTATGTCTGTCGAAAAATTTTAGTAGTGTCTCAAACTAAGTCTGTGTCCATTTTAAGTAAGATTTAATTGATAATCTTTATATTGTTATATTTGTTTGTCCGCGATGAACTCTTGAACCACTGAACTAATATAAAAATATAATTCTACTGAACGTGTGTTTATCATTGAACTCCTCCTATACAACTGGACCTAATTTGATAAAATTTTTGTGTGTGTTTAACTGGACCCCTAGATGGCTTAGATTCAAAATTGGACCCGTCAGGTGGCGCTGTTGACTAAGATCTAGAAATTGCCCGTGCAAAGTCGAGGCGGATTGCTAGTTGACTATAAAATACTTTGATAGGTCTTAAAAAGTATTTCAATTGACTTGAGTGCAACTACCCTATTGAGCAGCATACAAAGAGTACAGAGACTTAGCCGAGACGCCTTGCAAAAATTTCACACAAGCGAGGGGTTCACCTAAAGTAGCAGTCAGAGAATCAGAGAAAATAACGCGATGCCACTCATATCAAAGGAGTCAATTTGTTTTTTCACAACACTTAACCCTACAGTGGAAGCAGCCTTAACAAAGGCCCGTAACGGACTAAGTGATACAGACTTGCACGCGGACGTAAGGTACATTTTGATTTAATACGCGCGCCGCAACAATCGGTAGGCTATTTTAACGAAGGTCGCATTCGAGGCGTGCAAAGTATTATGAACATTAGCGACGTTGTAAGTAGGTTTAAACTCGCAAGTTTGCTATCAGAGAGTGATCCTTCTGTTCATGTACTATTATTCATTCTGTGGCGATACCCGTATCGTTAGTACTGAACATTGCATTATTTTCTCAGTCTGCTACAGCTGTAGGTGAAGCTCGCGCTTGTGTGTGCGTTGCGAGATGCTTATTGTATGAAGATTCAGCTCTCTTCATATACACTCGAATATTAATAAATTACTCGGGGATGTCAACGTATTTCGTGTGATTTTTATACGTGTTTATCACCAAATAGGCAAGCTGTATGCTTGCTTGCTTTTTTGTGGATGTCAACAAAAGTAATAAAAAATATTTATTTAGTTGAAATTTATTGAAATAATTATACATTTACCCAAGAGTAGAAAATGATTCTTCGATGATCTCTTCCTCTTCAATTTGGGACTCTTGTCTAGAAAAAGATAATCAATAAGCCAGTAATCAGTACCTAAGTTAATAAGCCGGTTTATTAGACGATTGGCCAGTTAATTAAACGCCAGCATTCGTTCTATAGGGAACCGCCGAAATAAAACACATAGTCGTTGAGAACAACCGAAAGAAAGAACCCGAAAGTATTTTAATATTTAAAAAAAAGACATTTTATCAATTTATACTTGTTAACAGTTTTTTTGGCATACATAATGAAGTAAAGCTTAAAATTTTTTCACATAATAGTGAAATCGTTATCTATCTTAAAGTACATAATTTTAACTTATGTAGAAATGAGCATATATAGCTACATACAGAATGCGAACAAGCATTAGCGGGGTTAAGTTCAATAACAGAGAATTCAGAGAAAGAATAAAGCTATTTATTATTTTATAAAATTCTAACATATTTGATTATCTAACAAATAAAATAATTATTTAATTCGTCTTTTATTTAAGTACTAGCTGTGCCCGCGGCGTAGCTCGCGTATACAGGTTTTACATAAAGAATTTGTCGTTTAGGTAAGAGAATATTAAACGATTTATTTCATTACTGTATCAATAAGTGGTAACAAAATAAATCATTATCATCAAAGTTCTAAGTCGTTTATGATAGAGCTTCTGTGTAAACGACGTTAGAAGTAGGCTTAGCCGGGGTGTACACAAAAAGGTTACGGGGGCTACTAATGCGGGAAAAAGCAACATAGAGTTGGCCATGTGCAAAACAGTCAGTACTGAGGTACACTCCTACAACGCGTAAAGTTTGACCTTGCGCTTTATTTACGGTCATCGCATAACATAAACTCACTGTAACTGGGAACTGAACGCGCTTAAAACTGAAAGGAAAGTTACTTCTTAATAGAGGGTTTTTGGGCAGTGCTGCCAGATAAAAAAAAACTCATTCAGCTCTAGGACAACACAAAAAGCGCTAGATTTCAAAAAAACAGCGCTTTAAAAAAGCCCTAGATTTCGCGCTAAATTAACTACAAACAAAGTTTGTGTATTTTTATATAATCATAATAAAGAAAACAACATTAAGTATTTTTTCTGGCAATATTTTTTTGATGTATCAATACTTCGCAGGACATCGACTTATAATTATAGCAATTGCTGTCAACAGTAGTTAGTACTGTACGAACAATAAAAATGTCATTAATTGTTTTAAAGTGCAATGTATTTCGCAACTTAGTTTCAGATGTCAGCATCTGATTGCGGTTGCTACACAGTTTCTTTGTGTTATAACTTCTAAGTAACTTTTAACTTAGCTGTGCTCTAAGCAACTGACTGAAACTGAATAAAGCAAAATAAATGCGTTGCCAAAACCATGAACGAAAACTTTAATAAAGGGGATTTCCCCGCTTATAGTCGTCGGTAAAAAAATCAAGTTGATCATCCTAAAGGGGAAGCCAGGAGATCCATAGCACAGGGTATCCCATGCTCTTTGTTTTGTGGAAAAAATATGTTTGAAAAAGATAAACTGCAATGTACTATTTGTGGGAAAAAATAATAAAGGTCATTATTATTATTATCGGTAATGTGGACTAACAGTGCTGCTATAAAAGAGTTAATAACCCGCTAGTCGCTAAAATATTGAAATGTGTGCTATACATTCCAAAAAGTGCTAAAATTTTAGCACCTAGCGCTTAATCCTGCGCATTAAGCGCTAGGTGCTAAAATTTCGAAATGCGCGCTATACATTCCAAAAAGTGCTAAATCTAGTTCCCAAAGCGCTAAAATGGCAGTTCTGATTTTGCGTATATTATAAATACAATGATTTTGCGTATATTATAAATACAATATCACGACATTTCGTTGCGAAATTTTTATTTTTGGTCGGGTTCCGTTGTATGGCTTCGATGGATACAAATTTCTTCAGTAAGTCTCAATAGAAAGAGAGAAAGAAAGAAAGAAAGGTTTATTCTCCAAAATGACGCCATCACAGATAACATAAAAAAGAAACATAATTTACAAATAATATTGGCTATACATTACAAATTACAATATACTACATATTACAAACTATACAATACCAATACTCATATGTGTCAAGGCGTCATCTACGATACGATACATCGGCGAAAAATCTCAACACCGCAATTCAGAAAAGTTTGTAATTTGTACAACTCCATCTATTACGTCCTTTGTGTGAGAAAACATCCTATCTCTTTTTGTGTTTTAAGTATAAATATATTAATTATTATGGAACGTTTTTTTTTACACAGAAATCTTTTTATTACTATTTCTGAGATTTTATGGCGCCATTGAACAAATTCGAACCTACATTTCAAAATAATAATCATTACTTTCGATAGAATTAAGCAATTTTAATAAAACAAAGATTAAATGTAACTCGAAGATACGCTTTATGATATTCTTAACGATTTCTTTGAAAATAAAAGATGTTTACTTTAGACGTGATGCGTTCATATAATAACAGACAAATAGACAGACAGGCAATTCTAAAAATTATAAAATGTTCTTATTTAATTATTTTCAGTTCATCGTAATGATTTTAGCCACCAAAATATATATACAATGTACAGAAAGAGACACAACAGGTTATCATCATTTTTATTATATGTATATATTTAAAGAGAGATGGCGCTGCTAACATCATCAATTCTAAAAATAAAAGAGATTAATTGACGCGATTGATACATTATATAAAACGTAAGAGAACTTATAAATCAGTGCCTGAACAGTAAGCAAAAAATAAAGTTTGACTCTCGCCAAAACCAATGCAATTGTTAATAGCTCTTTTAAAATTTGATTTATTACATAGAGTACTCGGCGGTAAAGAATAAATTGAGTTTGTCAACACGCAGTAGGGCAGCGAGTAATATAATAAAGATTAGCAGTAAATATGAAAACTCTATCTACAGGAAAATTGCAACATTTGCAATTGCATTGCATTTTCACAACACCACCATCTATCGAAGAAATGGGTTAACTATTATGCTTCAGATTTAGTTAATAACGTTAAGGTGGCACAAGTCGCGGGCTCGAACTCGCTGGTGGGCGCGGCCAAAAAGCACGCTGTCTCACCTGGCATCGTGCCCGACAGAGATAGTATCAGTGATGAGCATATCGACACTAGTATTCACGCATGTCTTGTTCGTACGGTGTTCCGAACCGTTAGAATAAAAACGAAGTTACACGAACACGATGCAACATCTATACTAATATAATAAAGCAGAAGAGGGTTTTTGTTTGTGTGCTAATCTCTGGAACTACCAGGCCGATTTGAAAAATCTTTTTTTGGATATTATAGCCAGATTCATGTTGAATAGTATAGGCTATACAGCATTAGGCTATATATCTCAGCTAGCCTCAGAAGAAAAAGCGCTGTTATGGTTCGGGATACGTAAATACAATGTTCTAGAAAAATATAGATCTTTACTCCGTCTAAAAAAAGTCCGCGATACCATATGTCTATTTCTTATATATAAGCCACAATTAGGCGTTTTGTGACAAAAAAAATGAAAATTTAATTATTAGGCACCTTACGAACGAAAGTTACTTCATTATCAAGACAATTTTATGAAGATAAACTTCGTTCTTTATACCATGTTTATATAGTACATAGTTTAAGAGATAATATAAAATTAAAATAATTCAATACCTACTTGGCTTGACGCGCAAACATCGCATAACCCCTAGCCCGGTGCGAACTGAGAAGCCACTATTGAAAGCTTCTATGAGCGAGGTTAGGTTAGCCGTTAGTTCAATCGTTATCTATATATACACAAATAAATAAAATTGAAGTGTCTGTTTGTAATGTCAAAATAACAGCTTTTTACTAATTGCGTATGAAACTGTATACGGTACTTATAACATTAACACAATTTTTAACATTTTTGTATGTCTGTCAGTCTGTTTGTTGCGGTTAATTTCCAAAACGGCTGGACCGACTTGGGCGGGACTTTCACTAGTAGATAGCTCATGTTATAAGAAGTAACTTAGCCTGCTTAAATTTTAGAAAAATTATTAGGTGTCTTTGCAACAATATTAACGCCCTAAACTAAACGCGGACGAAGTCGCGGGGTACAGCTAGTAGCTAAAATAAATTCAAAATTAATTGAGTACTTTTATCTATCTCCCGGGTGAGCGTAGCAATGATTAGTTACATCTTTATTTCTGAACTCTTTCATTTCACGTTGCTATGGTATTTTGAAAGTTTAAATTTAATTAATTAATAAGTATAAGAGGTTGATAGCAAATTTATCAAGAATCATTTCTTGCCTACACACTTTTCATGAATCGTGTACGTTTTTCTTTAAAACTGGAAAAAACCGCGCATAATATGCCGACAGATAAAATAAAAGTACTCCATTAATCATGACAATTTTTCCATACATTACAATAAAATAAAATATTTGATTGCAATTATAAAATGCTTGAACTAGGTGTCATGTCATGCCACGCATCTCGGACACGTGATGACGCGGGTGAAACCGCGAAATTATTAGGTATACCTCTGTGGCTCTATATACCTAATATAGATTGCTTATTTTATTATGTTTAGTTTTCCCCGAGTGGTCATGCAGCAATCACTCAAGAGTTCGGCTTCGAACGTGTGTAACTCGATAATTATCCCACGGCAACGAAATACCTGAATAAACGGTATGATATATGATATTTGGCAGCTCCGTGGCGCAGTGGCTTAGCAATGAATTGTTGTACTGGGAGCCGCGGGTTCGAATCAATCGAACAAGTATTTGTATGGTCTACAAATAATTGTTCCGGGTCTGGATGTTTGTAAACTGCCTCCACGATACAGGAGAAAATCCTAGTGTGGGGTAACGTTTTTTTGAAAAAAAAAATTCCGGACTATAGCCTATCTCTGAGCAAAATATCATCCAGATCCCTTCAGCCGTTCTGGCGTGATTGAGTAACATACATCCATCCATCCGTCCATCCAAATATCCAAACTTTCGCATTTATAATATTTAGATAATAATCGTAATTGCTCTGCCTACCTATAAATTGTTTTCAAAAATACTTACTTACCTGGCTTTTTTTATATATACTCAATATCACTAAACGTAAGCACAGGTTTTTATCAAGACAAGTGACCCATCAAGATTGTTTTCTTAGTACTGACGTACCTACCTAAAGTTTACAATTTTGTGGCCACGACGCGGCGAGGTTTTGTGACATTTTGTTGTATTGTAGATTGTAGGTATCTAGGTAATAACAGTAGGTACCTATGAAAATTCCACATAATATACTTTGTTTTTCCGCCGCAAAAGTCGTCTAATAAATAATTAAACTGTTTTGTAATTCTTTATTTATTTATAACACTTGCATTGAGAGCCGTGGTAGCTCAGATGGTTAGTGCTCGCTGTAAGTATCACATTACGCGAGCAACCCGGGTTCGATCCCCGTCGGCACCAATGAAATTGTTGCAATTTTATATAGTAATCGAATATAGACTTTACTTTTTTTACTTTTATAATTATATTATATTACAGTCGAAAATTTTAAAATATTGTCTGTCGTCCAAAACGCATCATCTCTTTCAATTATATCAATTTCCATGCCGTCTTTTGTCTTTGGCGTCCAAATTACAAAATAGCAAAACTTTTCGTTTCGAATAAAACTCGAATACTTATAAGCGCGCGTCACCGCCTGTGCATGTGTGTGTAAGCATCGTCCTCCCGCACCGCACCGGGGGAGACATTATTCAGTGAGATGCACGATAATTCATAGTAACATGCGCGCGTAAAAAAATACGAAAAGGCCTTTGGAAGAAGGGGTTTTATGAAAAAACCACTGCATTAATCAATTACAAATAAAATGTATTGAGTTCTTCGATAATTGACCTGTGTCGGTACCGACTTTGTTTTGGAAATTTAACACTTCTTTTATTACTAATTTACGCCCAAAGTTGTGTTAAAATTGGCAATAAAAACGAATCTTTGGTAGCTTGTAACTTTTTAATAACATTTTATTTTACTATTCTGTTTCCGTACAGACAAATTTAATAATGAGACAAAACGATATCATGTTTAATTTTGGATGTACACTGTCAAACAGCGGAGTAAAACCCCTCCGAAATTTCTATGGAAATAATGTCGACTAGTGTCACCTTAATTAATATATTTTTGTATAATATATTTAATACGTTCTTTATTACTTTTGTTTACTGCGTTTTAGATATACATAATTATATCATTATTTTACATAATTTAACTATGATTTATGATATGATATTAGTTTAAAATGCACTTGATGACTCAAACAAAGCCACCGTTGAGCAAATTCGTACCTATACTTCCCTACCCATACTTCAGAATATTTATCATAACTTTTGATGGAATGAACTGATTTTAATGAAATAAAGACTAAATGTAACCCGAAGATACACTTTATAATTTCCTTAACAATTCTTATGATATAAATTAGTACTTTATACGTGATACGTTAACAAACAAACAGACAGACAGACAGACAGACAGACAGACAGAAAATTCTAAAAATGGTAGAAATGTATTTAATTACTTATTTTTAGTACCCCTCAATCACTTTTATTACAAAAATATTAAATGTACAGACATCTGCTATTTACAGTTTTATTATATGTATAGATTTTATCATCTTTTTACAACCCCAGTGCGTTCGCTCTTTGACACAGCCATACGATGGTAGAAGGAAGGTCGTAGGCAAAGCGTCCACAACTCCCGATAAACGAGCATAAGGTATATTTTTGCTTGCAGCTAACAGTTGGGAATGTTATAAAAATTTTGTAGGCTATTATAGCGTAGGTATTTTCGCTTTTGTATGGTCGTACTATTATTAATTCTGTGGTATGGTAGTGATGTATCTGTTACGTAGTAACATTATTTAATCTGTGCGCGCGTGTCGCCCACACTTTCATTTAAATGTATAAAGAAAATTTATCTAACCAAATCGCTTATCGTATAGGTAATTTTTAACAAAAGAGCGGGCTAATATTAAGCGATCTTGTAAAATGAATTTGTGAAAGTGAGTTTGGTGAAAGTTTGACTTTTAATATTGTGTTTAGAGCGTGTGGTGACGGTGTACGAATATCCACTACCCTCTGTCGTCCCGTCGGTGTCGATAAAGGCGACAGAGGGAAAATTAATAAAAAACAGGAGATGGGCAGCGGCGTCTTCTTAATAAGAACTAGAAAATAAAAAGCTGCAGTGCCGTACATTTGTCATAGCGGGTAACTATGACAAATGTACCCCTTATCAGGCAATTTATGGGGAGGCCTATGTTCAGTAGTGGACTTTGATAGACTATTATGAATGAAATGAATGAATAAAATTATAAGTTAACGGCATGTATTTGAGTCAATCTTAAACAAATATATACCTTTTTATTAAAAGTTTCAACAAAACAATATTCCGTCGATAAAATTACTCAAGCTCTTGTCGACGCTCGCCGCACATGACTTTTAGTTCCACAGAGGCAGAATAAAATTGATTTACCACCTCTTACCATCAGGTGGGATTTTAGTCAAGTACTGGCTTATAATAACATAAAAAAAAAGATCTAAATTATAATTTCTTCTGGTGGCTTATGCCTCTTGGGTAGTCCGTGTACGTGTGTCTGTGTATATATAAAAATACGGAGATATTCAATCAACGAAACAAGAAAAAGAAATCAGTACCTTGGCGAAGTCTCAAAGTCTTCAGTCTCGTTCAATGGTATTTCTTGATAATAGTCATCAAATCTGGAAGCCTACGAATAAGATTATGTATTCTAATGCATTACTTTTTATACAAGTAAGCGTGCATTCCTATTAAGAATTGAAAATGAGAACTAAAATGGAATGCCTCGTACCCAGTAAATAAAATAAAGGTTTTCGGTTCTTTTACAGAATCCACACTCTCTAAAATGCACAGCAGTATTTTGCTATTTTCCCCTTGTATTCTGTGCGAGCGTGGTGCTACCTCGGTCAATATAGCTGCAGCGTGGTTCTTGCGTGGTTTATGACCAGCCCATTGCCACTTAAGCTTACTAATCTGTACGATTGTCTCGATTATTTATAATACTCGCTGCAGCTGTATGACTGTAGCACAAATGGGTTGGCTCGATCGGGGAAGGACCACTCTCTCACAGGTTAATGTTGCTGTTTCGTATGGTGAGCGCAGGAAAACGGTGATGCTTTTTACTGGAATTGTATCTTCATAACAGGGGTGACAACGCATCAAAATGTTGATCATCATCATTCATCATTACAGCCTTTCATAAGTCCACTGCTGAACATAGGCCTCCCCCAAGGAATGCCACAAAGCACGGTCCTGAGCCACCTGCATCCATCGACCTCCCGCATGTCTTACCAGGTCGTCACTCCATCTCGTGGAGGGTCGCCCTCACTTCGCCTACCGGTACGAGGCTGCCACTCAAGAACCTTTCTTCCCCATCGGTTGTCGGTTCTTCGAGCTATATGGCCGGCCCACTGCCACTTCAGTTTACTAATCCGTTGGGCTATGTCGGTTACTCTAGTTCTACTGCGGATATACTCATTACTAAGTTCATCACGTAGAGAAACCCCAAGCATAGCCCTCTCCATAGCTCGCTGAGCGACCTTGAGCTTCCTCATATCATCAAGGTGACAAAATGTTGATACCTAATCGAATATAGATGCCACAGCATTCACTTACCATAAGGTGGACTGTGTTCTCGTTTGTCTCTTTTCTTCTATTAAAAACAACCTATTTATTTTAGTTTATTGTTTTGTAAATGTTATAATTGTGTTACTCGAGGAAAGCCGTACCCAGAGGTAATTTAATGTTGTATTCAGCCACAGTTTAAGGAGAGTCAGCATTGAAGTAATATTTACTAGTACTAGAAGTACGAGTAGAACAGATACCGCGAACAAAACCAGTTGGGTAGTGCGGGACGCGTAGTCGAAGACACAGAGTATCTTTTTATGGCAGACTTTGTAAGTTTGAGTACATGGGCTCTAACGCGTGTTGCAAACAAAATCTGCTTCCGGTATATATTACTCTACTCTATGAAATCCAAATACCCTATGAAATATTGATTAAAAATACCGTATCGGTATTTTTAATCAATATCGAACAGTATCGATAATTACCGCATTATAAATATCCATATTTCGGTTTGATACTGAACGTTTTGACAACGAAAAAAAAAACAACAGCACATGAATGCTTTTGTTCCTTTTGTTGCTTGATTGTTTTGTCTGATAATGATAAATTACATTGTCTTTTACATTATAAAGTAAATATATAATTTTAAAATATATCTATAGGTACTCTAAAATAAATATCGAATATCGATATATCGCGATTAAAACTTCGACGATAAATAACGATAATTTTGTGAGAAAATATCGATATTTCGATATATCGATATTTTTTATCCAAGCCAAGCCCAAGTCTGGCCCTTCTAGTACGTAGTACATGCTACTTACATAATTATACTTGATTAGTTCAATGGGTATTTGAAACAGAAACAGAAACTTTTTTATTCAATATAGATTATAAAAAATACTTATTGAAAGTCACTCTTTTGCTTAATTACCACTGGTTCGAAAAAAATACCTCTGTCCTGGAAAGAACCAGCAAGAAACCCAGCGGGACTTTTTTTTTAAATAACAGCGCACAATCATGTATGTTACACAATTAACAACACAACAAATTAGAAATAGCTTGGTAGCGATCATCTCATTTCCAGGGGTTATTATCATCCATTTCCTTAATATTATAATAACCCTTTTGATACAAACTTAGTTTAATAAAATTTTTGAACTTCGAGCAGGTATATTTTCTGGAATTTTGTTGTAAAAACGTATACATCGCCCCATCAATGAATTACTGACTCGATGGAGTCGAGTAACTGGTAGTACTAGCTTGTGTCTGTTCCTAGTATTTACAGAATGAATATCACTTATTTTTGTAAAACTACTTTTATTTTTGTGTACGTACATTACATTTTAATAAATGTATTGAGAGGCCAAACTTAATATATTAATATCCTTAAATTTTTGTCGTAGCGACTCTTTAGGCTTTAAATCATAAATTGCTCTTATGGCCCTCTTCTGTAGAACAAATATAATTTCAGTGTCAACTGCGTGTCCCCATAGCAAAATATTATACGACACGATACGACGATATTCGGACGGCCGTCTGCGGCGCTGCTCGTAATCGATATATTTATACTTACTCGTTTGCCTCCAATATTGAGAACAACATTATTTTGATCCGAATTTCTTAGTCGCTCGCGCTGTAAAAGAAAACAATGAAGTTGCCACACTCATTTTTTAATTTGATGAAACACATTTGTTTTTTTCTATGCACTAGCTTAACACTGACTGTCCGATTTTCAGACACAATAGTAAGACAATAGCAATGAATTATATGTAATACACGGGACACCGAATGGGTTAAACTGTGTAATGGCGATGTAAGAATAGAGGCGATAGAGAGAAACTGAAACAGGAGATGGGTAGCAGCATCTTTACAGCAACTGACAATTATCTGGTCAAAATAAATATGACAAAATAAATATGGGGAGGCCTATGTTCAGTAGTGCTTATATAGGTTGTAATGGATGGATGCATGTATGAATGGATGCACAAGTTTAAGTATAACATGTTTTATGCTAAGGTATTAAGATATTTTAAGTTAATTTAAAAACAAACACATTATACGTGGTAGAGCCATGCTGCAGCTATATTGTGGTTGTAACACGAAGTCATCCGGTTAATATGACCACTTTCTTATAACTCAAAAACTACAGCCTTGTTTGGATAGATGGTTTTGTGATACTTACTCTCTCTCTCTTCTCTCTTACTCTTCATCAGTCAGTCAAATAATAAAGGGTCAAAATGGCGCTGCTTTATGGACGCCATTTTGAGAGTTGAAAAAATTGTAAATATTTTAATCGATTTTAGTATTGTATAGGGTAGTAAGTTTTATTTGATTAAATTTTTGGAAGTGTTTCTAATTATTGCCAAAGCTTGTTTGCTATATTTTTCTTATTATTTTTATTATATAGGACAGCAACAATAAACACAAAGTCGTATATTAGTTATAGTATACGACTTTGTGTTTTTGTCGCTGTCCTCCTCCTAGTTTTGGTGCTTTAGGCACAGAATAAATAATAGTATAGGGTGACAAAGCTTAAGGTTTTAGTTAAGCATTTTAGCCATCGGCCTTTCTAAGTCCAGGCGAATACGGAAATACAAAAAAAAACCAGATTTTTTATTTCATCATGACTTCTTGCGATCGGTTTTGGGGGGAAATGTTATAGAATAAACGAAATTTTAATTATATAAGTCGATGAAATAAATACCTCTATTTTATTTCATTTCTTCTACAGTTATTTAAGTCTTACTTAGAAAAAAGCATATAAAATTAATTAAATTATTATTAATTAAATAGAAGAGTGCCACAAGTCTCATTTCTGGACCGATCTTCTTCATCATATTTACTAACGATTTGATTACCCTCACATCCGTTGAGGCTGTGAGCCAATCGCAATCATGATATAGTTTTGTATTTTCTATATTCGGATCACCATGTGTCATAACAAAACATATACATATAACCTGTATATAAGTGTTTTATCATTTTACCATGCGGTTGGCCTTACATTATTTACTCTCAAAAATCTAAGGCGGTGGCGTTACTAAAGCGATATAATGACGTCACTGGCGTTTGAATTTACATTTTAGGAAAACCACTTTTAATTGTAAAATTACATCATATGTTAATTTTTTTTTAATTTTTCTTACTAATTTTTAGCTTTCAAATAAAAATAAAATTAAAAGAAAACATGCAACTTCTCTATTCAATTAAAACCCAGTAAACCACGCAACAGAGGCATTTTGCTGCCAGTTCGAATCCTAAACTACTTAAAAACGAAACATTTTCGTTCGTGATTAAAATATTACGGTACAATATGCAATGGTTGGAATAATGAAATGGTACCAATCGCGGTGTAGAAGCTATCTCCATGGAGTCTCTCGCACCGAGTAAAGTTGTTTTTGTCACAGGTTGACCATAACCGCAGGATGCACTAAAAATACAAAAGAAAATGATGAAATGACGCATGAAAACACAACATATCTCACATGTAATACATATTATATTAATTTAGACTATTTAGTGCGATTGCCAAGTCAATCTATGTATTTAAATCATAAAAGATTATTAATATTGATATGGTCACTATAAGATGTTGTTAGGTTTAACTATTTACGTAATAACTTGAGACAGAAGGACTCTTAAGTAGGGACTGAATAAATTAACCGACTTGGTATTACATGGGTCTCACAACTTTTTACGGTAGAAGAACTGAGTTGCGAGACTTGGTTCTTTTTTTACAAGTTAAGATGGCATTAAACTGTGTGCCGTTTATTTGCTCCTTAAATACATATATACATACATACATATAATCACGCCTCTTTCCCGTAGGGGTAGGCAGAGACCACTTCTTTCCACTTGCTACGATCCTTACATACGTGTTTTGCTTCGTCCACTTTCATTATTCCCTTCATACATGCTCTACGGTTTAGGGTACTCTTGACCTAGCCTTTTTTCAAGACGTCCCTGACTTGGTCTAGAAATGTACGCCTAGGTCTACCCCTTCCAACACTTTCATTCACACTCGCCTTATACACTTTTTTCGTCAATCGTTCTTCATTCATTCTCTCGACATGGCCAAACCATCTCAGCATACCTTTCTCAATTTTTGTCACTACATCTTTCACCATGTGTGCTGTAAAGCACCCGAAACGTCGGGAATTAAAATAGTAAAATTAAAAATTTAGTACAACCGATTTCAATATAAATAAAATGAGATTATCATCAATGTAGTCGAAGTCCATTAAACACGCATTAAGGATAACTCATAACTACTGGTCAGATCATGATCAAATTTAAATGGAATCACATTATAAGCACCAGCTTTCAAATAAAAAAAGAATCATCAAAATTGGTTCAACTCGAAAAAAGTTCTGAGATAAGGTAAAAAAAGCAGTCGAATTGAGAACCTCCTCCTTTTTTGAAGTCGGTTGAAAAGTTAAAATTAAACGCGATAAAATCCGTAAAATTTGTTTCATTTAATGTGTGGTGTTAGCGTAAAATATGAGAAATCATTCAATTTCTAATTACCTAAGAATATATTTCCAAACATATTATATAATTACTTAAAATAATATGTAATTTAAATTATATTATTATATGAAACTCCACCCCACTTTTGTCCGCAACACAGACAATACCTACTTAGCATGACTCAAGTTTTTTTGTTAGAATTATTGTATACTAGATGTAGGAGCCGTGGTAGTTCAGATGGTTAGCGCTCGCTGTAAATTTCACAATACGCGAGCAACCCGGGTTCATGCCCTGTCGGCACCAATGAAATTGTTAATTGCAATTTTTGACAGCTCCGTGGCGCATTGGCTTAGCAAAGAGTTGCTGCGCTGGAGAGCGCGGGTTCGAATCCCGCACGGAACAAGTATTTGTAGGCCTACAAATAATTGTTCCGGGTCTGGATGTTTGTCCTTGTGCAATTTGTGTTTGTAAACTGCCTTCACGATACAGGGGAAAATCCTAGTGTGGGGGTAACGTATAATCAAGAAGAAAAAAAATTTTAAGTGCCTATTTACCCGGAAAACATCGCGAGGAAACCTGCATGTGTGTGAAATAAAAAAAAAATTCGATGACATGTGAAGTTCCCAAACAACGCATTGGGGCAGCGCGGCGGACATTTTCCTTGCCGTAAAATCAGGGAAGGCCTGTCCCCAGCAGTGGGACGTATATAGGCTTTAACTTAACTTAAGATGTATCGATGTTTGTGTATTCCAAAAACCGTAAATAAAACAGAATTAAATCTACAACCCTGCTAGGGTTGTAGATTTTATTCTGGTGATGGAAACCAGAGATATATTCCTTATCCTTTTATAATTATAAAAACCTTACATGATCCTTAAAACGGAGCCCATATTGCCTCTGATATCCACGCTAGCTTGCGGCATACGATGGTTGGAGTTGCTCTGGAAGTATACGCATAATATAATACACAGTACCTCTACAGCGGAGTTTTGCTCGGCGTTAGAAACAAAATTATATATTTGGAAATACAGAAGCTAATCCAAATCGTTTAAATCTGTTTCTAAGAAACTATTAAGTAACATATGCACATATATACAAGACAGCGGCAGGCAGCCTCGTACCGGTAAGTGAAGTGCAATGCGGCCCCCGACGAGATGGAGTGACCACCTGGTAAGACATGCAGGACGTCGATGGATGCACTTGGCTCAGGACCTTTGTGGCATACCTTGGGGGAGGTCTGTGTTCAGCAATGGACTTGTGAATGGATGTAATGGTGATGATGATGATATATACAAGAATATAGGATTAGGATTTTTGGATGTTTGGAACGAAGTTCCTTATCGGGCGGTTGGCGGATGGGAGGTAGGCGACAAAAAGTGTAAGATTTTTTCGTCACTACCCCTTGTGTCATAGTGTTTTATTTTAAATGACACTTCATCTTAATAGATGCTAGTAATTCATTTATTTGTATTTGTTAATCAACAATATAATACATTTATCAATAATTATATACTTCGAAAGAGACTTCGTTCCAACACAGAGTTCAACGACACTCATGCATGTTTTTTTTTAAATTTAAATTATACTAAATCTGCCTAGCGATGCAACGATTTTTGTCAAAAACATTCGCGGGGAGGTGCACAACAACTAAATCAGTATCATGTTTTACATATCAACGCGTTAAAGTTTTTTCGTAATCATATAAATAGTATGACTAATCAAATAATAGTATATGTAAATCGAATAACAATAAAAAGGTTCGAACGTCGGTCTCAGCGGCCAGTCTCAACCATAGGTCTCAACGGAGACTGGTCTGCGCTCTGCGCAGGACAGGATTATAGCGCACGAGTGTGTGCGCATGCACAGACTTTCTATTCCCTAACACCCACAGTTCCATTGGACGCAAATCCGATACAACCGGAGATAGATCAGGCGCAAGACCAACGGCTTTACGTGTTTCCCGAGGCACGGGTGTGAAAAACCGCCTACTTCTTGACTCCGTGTTGTTAATGAGAATTTATTGGCAGAAATTATTCAATAATTTCAGAAGATCAGCAGGCGCGCTCGCGACCATTAGACAAACGACGCAGTCAAAATCATCAAATATTTTATACGACGGGCCACGCAAAAAGAATTGCAAAAAAAAATGTTCTATATCTATATTGAATGAAACACTAGCCAGTTGTAATTTTTGTCCACGTTATCTATATCTATATTAATCACAAACAGTGAAAAACTATACAACTAAGTAACAACTTTTGAGAAATTCCAAAATAAAAGATCGAGAAAAAGCCAAGACTTATTCGGCAGAATTTTTTCATAATTGTAAAAACAATTGGGACAGCCTGGATTAGAAAAATTTGAGACATAAGTGACAATTCAATCATCACAGAATACCAGCGTAAAATAGCAGCTTAACACTGCTGTGTTTCGTATGGTGAGTGCAGAGAACCAGAGACCCTTTTTACTGGAACCGAGGCATTCCATCTTAGTCCTCACGGGTGACAACGCATCTGTATTTTGATTCGCAAACGAGGATAGATGTAGATGTCTATGGGCCACAGCAACCACTTACCATCAGGGGGACGATGGATTTCATGGATTTTAAATTTTTTGCGCGGAACCCTAATTTTTTTACTTAAATAAAAGGAGTACTCCTTATAACATCAGCTATCTGCCAGTGAAAGTCTCGTCAAAAACGGTACAGCAGTTTCGAAGATTATGTACCGTAAATACTCTCATATGCATTTAGTAAAAAGCTGTTATTTTTTTTTTAAATAAAACTAGTCTTACGGATTTTATTGCGTATACGAGTATTAACTTATTTTATATTCCCGATGGTTCGAGTATTTTACACTTTAAACGCGGGTTTTTTAAAGAACACATAGCTGATGTGAAGAATCGACGCTCCGGGAAGTCTGCAGTCTGTGAACACGTACAGGATCGCCCCCGCCATTACATTAGATTTGATAGACCACAAATCCTCGCTAAAGAACACCGATTCCTTCCAAGGATGATTCGCGAGGCTATTGAAATCAAAAAACATCCTAATTTCAATATGCTTGTGCTACCATCTGCTTGGGATCCCATAATTAATAAAATGAAATCCCAACCTAAGCATACAACTGCAATACTTCAAGATACTGTAAGTTCATATTGCGTAGATCGGAACAAAAATTAATAATTTTTAATCTGGAGGTAGCCGTGGTTAACTATGACATTGGGACGTCAAACACCTCAGTCCCCCCGTGACCATGGGTGCTGTAAAGTACTCGAAACGTCGGTAATATAAAATAAGTTAATATACGCGATAAAATCCGTAAAATTTGTTATATTTAAATGTGTAGTGTTCGCGTATATATAACAAATTATTAAGCTGTTATTTTGACATTACAAACAGACCTTTAAATTTTATTTATTTGTACAGATAATTTTTTTAACCATTTAACTTTTTTAGTTTTGCAAAACATTTTGCGTGGCCCACTTATACCTATTTCGGACTCTTTCCGAACCAATGTTATAAGTATACTTTTATTTTAGGATAGTAATTATGAATTTTTGAATGTTCAAAAAAGTATACTTTGTTATATAATTATATGCCGCCGCTCTTGTTGGTGCTGCAAGCGCGCACTAACTTGCTACAGCACGCGCCTTTGACGCCCGCGCTGCGTGCACTTAACGTGGTCTCACAACATACTGATTTGTTCAGCTGTACTCTGAACGAATTCACAAAGTCCGCTTATTGTAAAATACATAGAATTATTACGCATAGAAACGCAGTCCAGTACAAAACACGAGCGTTAAAATGATGCAAAGTCATAATGTTAGTGGGCGCGAGTCGAATGTGCCTACGCTCGTCACACGCACACATACACGCCATTCAGTGATACCAGTGTCTGGCGTTTGCAATCAAATTGTGCAAATCACTATTTTTTGATTAATTTTAAAAAATCGATATAATAAAGATTACGTTTTACGTACGAAGATATATTTTATGAGAATATAAAATGGAATAAAATAAACACGATAATGATGGTACTAATATAACTTAATTATACATATTTTAGGATACAAAAATACAGTCGTAATAAAATTTAAGAATATTGTTAAACACAATTAATTTGCTCGAATACAATAAGCACATCGTGTAATATTTAATTTTAACCGACTTCAAAACAGGAGGAGGTTTTCAATTCGGTGTATTTTTTTTAAATGTTTTTTACCTCAGCATTCTACAATTTCTAAACCGATTTAGATTTTTTTCTGCCGACTTCCAAAAAGGAGCCGGTACTCAATTCGACTGTATGTTTTTTTTTTTATTTCGTTTTTTTTTTTTATGTGTGTTACCTCAGAACTTTTTTCTGGGTGAACCGATTTCGATGATTCTTTTTTTATTTGAAAGCTGGTACTTCTCGTGTGGTCCCATATGAATTTGATCAAGGTCAGACCAATAGTTTTTAAGTTATTCTTAAATAACTTATATTGAAGTCGGCTGTACAAAATTTTTAATTTTTAATTATTATTTGAAAGGATATACACACAGATTGATCCAATATACACGCTGAAATTTTAATGGTTGATTTCCCGATGTCAAATTATTTTGTCTTGGTAGTAATTATTTTATTAAAATTAGGATGCAAAAATGGCGGATTTACAATCGAAAAAACAAAACTCGAATGCGATCTCAAAACAATAGCAATATCTCGCAAGTAGGTCAGGTGTGCAGGCTAGCTTATACCGTATTACTATAATAAAGTCTGAAAAAAAAATTCGCTGGATGTAACTTAGTGTTACGTCTATCGCACGCGCTACCGCGCGCTGCCTACACAGTGAAGGACCACTAATAAATGTTCAGAACATGAACTCTCAAGCGTAGTGATACGACATAAACTAGTAAATATAGAATTGTCTTAGAAATCAGTGTACATACATATTGATAACCTCTCCTTTTTGGGTGTCGGTTAAAATAGACTATGTTTGGGTCTAAAATAACATCTGGTTAATGTTTGGGTGTAAAGTGACATCTGATTAGTTAAGGCGTTCTTATTAATAATATCTTGATGTTGTAAATAGAAAAGTTTTTATTCTATACTCTAAAACGTAGACTTAGTCAATAAACAAAGCAATTAAAATAGTTGCGTTAAAATGGCGTCGGCGAATCGCGATTAGCTGATCACTCCGTATTAGTTTTAAATAGGCACCCATTGTTAATATTATGTTAATACTTAAAGAAGTAGGTATCTATATATAAACATTTGAGTTTTACAGAGAGCTTTGCGATTAAACATTTTGAACACAAATAGAAAATAAATATTTTTAAAAGAAAATTGTGATTTTTCCCCACAACTAGCAACATTTGTATTAGGATAGCTTAGGTAAGTATTTTTTTAGTTTTACGTAGTTATAATGAATTAAATATATAAACTTGTATGTGAAATGCAGTACCATCACTTCTTTTATGTTTATCATCACTGTTGTGACAATCTTTTACAACAAAAACGGTCATTTTTACAATTTTTCGCGAGCTCTTCTCCGTAAGACATGACGTTGCGCACTGACGCGTCGCTGAGTGAACTAACGCGGTTTCGCGTTAGTTTAACTTGCTTCACTTTCCGTGCGCGTACTAGTATTCTAGTAAAATATCTTTAAGTTGTGCATAATATACCTATTTATGTTTGTCTAGTTTCTTAGTTTGTAACTGCACTATTGTATTAGGTAATACACCTGTGATGATAGTTGTAAGTGGTAAAATAAATAAATAAATAATAAAAATTTATATAATTAATAAAAGTTATTCTATGAAATTCTATCCTACCTCCCTTTCCTGTGTCTGTTCATTGCAACATTCCCACTTCCCTGGTAAACGCTTCAAGTATTCATTTTTAATATCATCAGCATTCGGACACTTCGAATTTAGGATCTTGTCGTTAAAAACTGTTGAAGAGAGCATGATATTTAAAAAAAAATAACGAGTGCCGCGTCAGTTGAAGAGTAATTAGAAAATGTAATCATTAAAACTTTTTTATTTGAAATCTGGTGCTTCTCATGTAGTCCCATATAAATTTGATCAGGGTCTAACCAATATTGGTTCAAATATTGGTTTCAAGAGTCATCGAAACCGGTTTGCCTAGAAACAAGTTATAAGGTAACACCCTTAAAAAAACACAGTGGAATTGGGCTGCCACACATGGCCGCAGCCTCCCGATCGAGCCTGCAATGAGCAAGTGATAGGTACTATACTCTGGATCAGGCAGTGATCCGAAGAGCCAAAAGGGGCATAGCCGTCCGGATGAGAGGTCTGTAGAAGGTTCAACAGGGAAGGTGTATGATCCTCCACATCTGGAATTCGCGTGGGCGAAGTGATCAGTTGTCAGATCATATGCCAAGGCAAAGTCGTAAACAGATCTTCCCGGTCGGATCGGTAGTACGAGAACCGAACCAATCGGCATGGCGGGCGTTGAAAATTGTGCATTTACCGAATGAAGTTCTGTGTTTTATTTTCGCCAACAAAATAATCGCTTACCGATTGTCTGGCGTGGATTTTCTTAGTCAAAAAAAGTGTAATGTTACACGTTTTTGTGACATCAAGAAAAATTTAATATACCATGTCTTAATTATTAGATTCACGCGGGGCCCCCTTTTGCTCGGGGCCTGTAGCAATTGCTACTCTTGCTACGTGGTTAATCCGGCACTGGTCAACGGGTACTGAGGTGATTGACGTCCCAATGTCTGAGTATTACTCAGATATTGCCTTACATCTGGCTATCTATTGTGGAAGGAACAGTTTTACAAGCAAGTAGATGGTGTTGCGATGGGCTCTTCGGTATATCCCATTGTAGCCGATATTTCCATGGAGGATTTTGAGGAGAAAACTCTGCTTACTGCGCCTGTATTTCCAAGGTTCTACAAGCGGTACTTAGACGATACTTTCACAATTTTACCATCAGACAAAGTAACTGCATTTTTAGGACATATTAATTCCATAAACTCTAAAATTTAATTTACTATGGAGTTGAGGCAAATAATTCTTTAGCTTTCCTAGATGTGTTAGTCATTCAAAATCCTAACAACAACATAGGTCACACTGTGTGAGAGACCCATACGAACCGATATTTAAACGGTGAATCCCACCATCATCCTTCACAGTTAGCTACCGTGGGCAAATCTTTGTTACAGAGAGTACGAGGGATCTGTGACAGCAAACACCTGGCCGCTGAGCTTTAGCACGTCAAGCGGGTTCTCGACGACAACAAACTTCGGGTCTCACGCCTACATCACAGTCACCAAGTGAAGCCGGCCACAGTCGAGCGTATGCCTGCTGTCTACCATATGTCAGGGGTGTCACAGACAAGATTGGCAACATCTTGAAGCGAGCTTCTATTAGAACATTCTTGAAGCCGCCGAAGAAGATTAGTCAGTTCTTACCATCCGTCAAGTGCAATATTCCTTTACAAGATGCAGGAGTGTACAAGCTTGATTGTGAATGTGGTCTCTCATATATAGGGCAAACAAAGCGACCTATCAAAACCCGCGTAAAATAACACAGCTGACGTGAAACACCAAGGTTCCGGGAAGTCTGAAGTTTGTGATCATATCCTAGATGGCCCCTGCCATTACATTAGATTTGATAAACCACAAATTCTCTCGAAAGAACATCGATTCTTGCCAAGGATGATACGTAAGGCTATAGAAATTATAAACATCCTAATTTCAATAGAGAGGGAGGCTGGGTACTACCGCCTGCTTGGGATCCTGTAATTAATTAAATTAAAACTAAACCCAAGCATATCACTGCAAGACTTCAAGACACAGTAAGTTCATTCTGCGTAGATCGGACCAAAATTAATAATTAAGAAAGCTGAAGGTACTCCGAGTTAACTGTGACATTGGGATGTCAATCACCTCAGTTCCCCGTGACCATGGGTGCTGTAAAGTACCCGAAACGTCGGGAATCAATAATCTCGTTTTCAGTAAAAAGGGCCTCCGGTTTCACGGACTCAACATACGAAAGACAACAGCATTAGCTGCTATTTTACGCTGGTATTCTATGAAAGCGTGGTCCTCCCACGGTCGAGCCGATCCATTCGTGCTACAACTATATAATTAATATAGCTGCAGCATGGCTCTCCCAAGTATGAAAACTTGTTAACTATATGTCGCACATACCATAACGTTTCCAATCGTTTGGCACTGTTTTGCCTGACTTTACAGCTTTCAACACGTTTCTCCTCTGCGGTGCTTTGAGCTCCGCCATATCGCCGAACATGACGAAAGGAACGTCGTTTCCTTCTAGCATTTCCCACCACGGTTTATCTGCTATTTGTTCTGGAAAAAGATATTAAAATATTATAACGTTGACCCAATCGGTCTATAATCATCATTACATCCCTTGACCAGTCCACTGCTAAACATAGTCCTCCCCCACGTAACGCCACGAAGCACAGTCTTGAGCCGCTTACATCTTATACCAGCTCATCACTCCATCTAGTGACCAAAGGGGTGCCCTTCACTTCGCTAATACCTTTCTTCCCGATCGGTTGTTGATTCTTCGAGCTATAAAGTTAAAAAGTTAAACTTACAGCCTATATACGTCCCACTGCTGGGTACAGGCCTCCTCTCATTTATGAGAGGGTTTTAGGGCAAGGAAGTGGCCGCCGCGCTGCCGTAGACCATGTTGGCGAAATATTGGAACGAAGTTCCTTATCGGACGGTACGGGCTTGGCGGATGGGAGCTAGGCGACAAAAACTGTAAGATTTCTTCGTCACTACCCCTTGTGTCATAGTGTATTTCATTTTAATGTAGTCAATGTAGATACCACATAACAAAAGCCTATTCACACTTGTCTTGAAGACGCCCAGATTGTAATCGGACGGAAAGACAGACGCCGGTCAATTATTCCACTCCTTTGCTGAACGCTTTACGAAAGACTAAGGAAACCGTTTGGTTCGAATGCGTGGAATATTAATCACAAAGGGGTAAAGACCCGCCAATCGGCGCGTGAAAAGGGAAGGGAGGAAAAGGATTTAATGTACGTATTATGTAATTCCTGCATCGCAACGTAGTTTATAGTATGCGGGAGGTTATTTCGTCAGCGACATCCATGAGAACTGATGGTTTTAATGGGAGGTAGTTTGTGCGTGGTAGAATCAAGCTGCAGCTATATTTATAGTATAGTTGTAGCACGAATAGGTCAGCTCGACCGGGGAAGGACCACGCTCTCATAGATCTACCAGCGTAAAGCAGCTTAACACTGCTGTGTTTCGTATGGTGAGTGTAAAGAACCTGAGACCCTTTTTACTGGAACCGAGGCATTCCATCTTAGTCTTCAGGGGTGACAACGCATCTGCATTTTGATTCGCAAACAAGGATAGATGTAGATGTATATAGGCCTCAGCAACCACTTATCATCAGTTGGACTGTGTGCTTGTTTGTCACCCTATCCTATAAAAAAAAATAGTTATGCTGTAAGGATCCAATTCAACCCACAATAATATAGTAAGGAGATATTGTCATTAGAGGTTTTGTTTGATAGTTAATGATAGCGACTTGCTCTGAATTGTTTGTTAGGTTTTCTTTACATCAAAAGTGACTTTTGCTCGACTTCGTTTTATGAAATTAAATGCAAATTCATCCAAAAATTATAAAGTTCTCATCGATTTCGATGGCAGCGACCCTATAAATTTATATATTTTACTATTATCAGCCCTGATATGGCTTACTAGGCTGAATTTGATCTTAAGTACTCTTTGACTTGTGTGGCAGTAGTGTTGGCCAGCTGATTAGTAGGGAGCAACTATATACCACGCAAAACGCAAATTACGCACTCTATGCGTATTTTGGCGTTTTGTGTCTAAAATATGAAGACGGCTTTCTTCAAACGATTTAATTTATTTGAAGAAGGTAGGTAGCCAAGATTATATTTTTACTGTAAGCTCCTCCCAATAAGCGCCTTATAGACGCTAATAGCAGATTCTTCTCACATTAAATTATATTATTTACTTTACTTTTGTAAATAATTATTTCGTAAAAATTTGTATGTGTTTTCAAAAGTATAAAATACAAACCTTCGGGCTCTTTGTCTGATTGCGAAGAGTCATCCGCGGCAAGTTCTGCTTCTGGCAATTCCGACTTAAAGAGCTCAGATAAATCGAAGAAGTATTGACTCATTTCCGGTGCACCACCGGCGAAATTACACACGAAGTTTTGAAACTTACGAGATACAGAATACACAATTAGTATGATAATTGAAAACAATAGGATTTTATACATTATCTTATTGTATAGGGACAAACACCCCAGACACGGAACAGTTACATTATGTAGGCCTAACAAACAATTATTTCGTGGGGTATTCAAGGCCGCAACTCTCATTTAATCGTTAAACTCCTTAACACATGTACCACGCACCTATTTTACTATTATAAGCCAGTGCTTGACAACGATCCCCGCTGATAGTGAGTGGTGATGCTCAGATGCGTAGCATGGACCCTTTTCTTTCGTTACCAAAATCTACACAATAGATCTATCCCACCAAACATGCATGGACACGACATACCTGCTCATATCTATTAATTTCTGACCAGTCTCGTATTCCGTCTATCTAACGGTCGCGGTCTACAAAGGTAACAAGTCGCACTTAAGAGGGGCCCCAAACAAACACGCTTTTAATTTGTGACGTTCTCTTTCAAACGTAAAAATAATCAAAACAATTAGTCATCTGTGGTAAAGTCTAAGGGCATCGCATTTTAAGGGGTCTCGCGAGGCTCCATTTAAGTGCGAGGCCGTGGGCGAGGGTCCACTTCGCCCACGCCTAGCTTTGCCACTGGTGATGCTGCCGAATTTGGTAATTCACTCTTGCTATGAAGAATTGATTGTGGATGACATTATATTTTACACGTGGTAAAGCCATGCTGCAGCTATATGAGTAATAAAGTTGTAGCACGAATGGGTCGGCTCGACCGGGGAAGGACAGCTCGAGTGTAAAATGGCAGCTTGACACTGTTGTGTTTCGTATGGTGAGTGTAGAGAACCGGAGACCCAATTTACTGGAAAAGAGGCATTCCATATTAGTCCTCACAGGTGATGACGCATGTGTATTTAGAAAATGCCGTTTCAGCATCCACTTATTAGGAGTGGACTGCTTGCTCGTTTTTTACCCTTATTCTAAATTAAAAAAAATCGTGCGTGGTCCTTGACGAAATGTTAGGCTAGATGGACCGTGTGTACAAACATAATATAGTTACAGCATGACTCTACCACGTAGTGATAATGCACGATGAAAAACAACGAGTAGGCTTGGCATACGTCAATTATTATTATTAATAGTTTATAAGTTGGTGTACGTCGTGAGTCGTGACTTTAAAGTACTCGGTGGTTGTGATGTACGTGACGGACGCACTGCAAAATGGAGCGCGTGTATTGTGTATTGACACTTAAGCGTGCGAGCGTTAGCGTATATTATAGTATCTACTCTATTAGTGTAAATGATCTACGAAATTATTATCAATAGCGCGTGCTTGAGGCGCGAGACGCGATAGGTGGAAGTGGGAGAGTTGATCATCGGTAAACTACCTGCGCGTGGCATACAATAAATACTTATTTTAAACCCACCCGTCATTTCTAAACTTAAAATAGTCGTCGGATATTAAAGTTAGTTAAAGTTACAACCTATATACACGTCCCACTGCTGGGCACAGGCCTTCTCTCCATTTCTGAGAGGGTTTTAGGGCAAGGAAAGGTCCGCCGCGCTGCCCCAATACGTGTTGGCGAACGTCACATGTCTTCGAAATATATATTTTTTTCTTATTTGTCAGACATGCAGGTTTCCTCACGATGTTTTCCTTCACCGCCGAGCACGTCGGATATTGAAAAATTTTAATATGTCAATTGATTTGTCGTAATTATATGGGTAACATAGACTATACATTTATATTGACGTCATTATATGATGACGTCAGTATAAAATAGATATGGCGGACATGATCTGGGAAAAACTAAAAACAACCTTAAAAACAATAATAAGCAAATGAAATCTTCTACTTCTACAATAACCTTTTCTATGCCCAAACACTACTCAATTTTAAGATGCCATCAAGTCTCGTGCTCGTGCTGTCTCTAAAGTCAAAGTGGCTGTGACACCACGATACTTAACGACATCTTAAAATTACGTAGCATTTGAGTCCATTGATCTAATACTGGCTAAAGGTTTTGACAAGAATGAGCCTAATGACCTGGATAATTTGAGAGAATTATCCCTATTCACAACGCTCGCCTGGGTTGATGAATGTCGGTGGTATGGTATAATAGAAAGTAAAAATATAAAGTTGCACCTACACGTCTCACTACTGCCTCTTTTTTATTTCTGTGAAGCATATGGAGACATTATTTTATTTACTGACTTCAAAATGGAGCCGGTCCTCAAATAGACTGTATGTTTTTTTTTAAATGTGTTACCTCATAACTTTTTACTGGGTGAATCGATTTCGATGATTCTTTTTTATTTGAAAGCTGATGCTTCACATGTAGTCTCATATAAATTTGATCAAGGTCTGACCAATAATTTTTGAGTTATTCTTAATAATTTATATTAAAGTCAGTTGTACGAAATTTTTAATTTTAAATTACGTTGTACACATGCAGGTTCACGAGGTTTTTCTTCACCGTGGCGAAAAGATCGTGGCAACTTAGGGGTTAAACGCCGTAAATTTCACAGGACGCGAGCTCGGGTTCGAAGAGAGAGTACAATATATTAAATCGGGGAAAAAGTTTCTTCGTATTTTATATACAAATTCAAGACATTTTTTTAAAGTTTAACTGCATTTAATTATAATATATATATATATATATATATATATATATATATGCCAGTTTGTTCGATAACTTGTTGCCATCTTGTAGGTACATACTACTAACATAATCCGTAGAAATCTTGGGATTTTTGATCAAAAAAATGCGACAAGTAGTTTTGACAGTCCTCTCTTGATGTTAACCTAACACTATTCAAAGAATTCTGAAGAGACCGAAACAGGTGAAAATATGGTGGATGCATTAACACTTCCCAAACAAGCACTCTCAATTTTTTCCGAGTGGCCAAAGATGTGTGTGGTCTGGCATTATCATGATGAAAGACCACTCCTTTTCTGTAGATCAATTCCGGCCGTTTTTTCTCAATTTCTTGCTTGAGTCTAATTAGTTGTTGGCAGTAGAGATCGGAATCAAAGGTTTTGCCCGGCGGTCAAAGCCCATAATAAACGATGCCCTTCCAGTCCCACCATACACACAGAATCACCTTATTGCGTGTTATTCCGGGTTTCGCTACAGTCTGTGGAGCAAGGGTAGTCCCCTTTGACCATGATCTTTTTCACACGTTCTTGTCGTAGGTGATCCACTTTTCATCACCAGTGGTCAATCTATTCAGAAATGGTTCGGTTTCATTACGTTTCAATAGAGAATCGCAAATGAGTACAGGTTTCTTTCAGTGAGCTCGTGTGTTAACCAAATTTCTAGCTTTTTTTGTAGCGAGACCTATTCAAATGAATCAAAACTGTTTTGTGGTCAATCCTCAATTCTTCAGCTATGTCGTAACTACTAATATGCCGATCTTGCTCCACTTTTTTAAAAATGGCATCGTCTTTATCCGTATGAGTGCGACCAGAGTGAGCTACATCTTTGACATCAATATTTCCGGACTGAAAACGTTTGAACGAACTTTGTGCTACTTTTTCTGACACTATATTCACAATTTTTTTCTCGGCTTTTATCGCATTTTAACCTTTTTTGTAATAAAACTTCAGAATGCATCGAATTTCTTCGTTAGATTCACTCATTTTGGTGGACAGAAAAACCATTGAAAAATGGCGGGAAAGTGTTTTTTACTTTTTCTTTTTCTTAATGTCCTATATATATTGATATTAAAACCAGCCAGATACAAAAGTACAACCAAAGAGATTTTACTTCAACTGTATACAAACAAAATACGAAAAAGCATTTCTCCCGACCTATTATTACAAGCTATATAATATTTGATATACAAAGAAATCTATAAAAGACAATGAACTATACTGCAGTCTTAGATTATTGATAACTCATCTTATCTTATCAATAATCTAAGACTGCAGTGTTCTAAGATTACTGGAGTTAAGTTATTTGAGAATTAAGTTGTCATATTTTTTTTGTTTTACCACATTCCGATTTTAGCTTTGATCTTAGAATTGAGTACCTAATTATTCAAAGACTTTGATATTAAAAATGTATAAAATAATTTCAACCAATCACTTCTTTAATAATGCTTTTTATCTTCATTTGCCACTCGTCATCAACTTTGGAAGCGATCTTATGGCCTCGTACGAGTTGAAGGATCAATGCCTGCGCGTCAGCTAAAGTGTCTTGAAGAACTCCTATATATTTCGTATATTCTGTGAAGATAAATCAATAGGTTAATTATATTTTTGGTCTACTTGCATTAACTAACAGTTGAAATCAAGCGACAAGGAAGCAAAAGTTTATAATTGATCGGTGTTCGCCGTTACCGCCTAGTGGCGGTGAAAGAATATCCACTACCTCATATCATCCTGTGGGTGTCGTAAGAGGCGATACAGGGAAACAAATCAGGAGATGGGCAGCAACGTCTTCTTAATAACGACTAAAAATAAAAAAGTCAGCAGTTGCCAACTCGCTTGCTAAACGAGGCAACTATGGTAAATAATTATGACGTTCCCTATGAGGCAACCTATGGGAGAGGTCTATGTTCAGCAGTAGACTTTAATAGGCTGTAATGGGACGCATGTATGCAAGATAATCTACCAGGAGCACATGACCCGCTGAGAACTGAAATTTTCAAATCAGTAACATTACAACTATGGCAAATATCCCCTATGAGGCAACCTATGGGAGAGACCTATGTTCAGCAGTAGACTTTAATAGGCTGTAATGGGACGCATGTATGGAAGATAATCTAACAGGAGCACGGTGGTAGAGCCACGCAGCAGTTTTTGCTGTTGCACGTATGGGCCGGCTCCAGCCGGGTTGGTACCACGACCTCACAGAATACCGGCGTGAAGTAGAAGCTCTGCTTCTGCGTTTCGTCTGGTGAGTGCAGGTGGCCGGAGGCCCAATTCCCCCCCCCCCCCCATCAACATGGTAGCGGAATTACACGATAGACTACCCCAGGAGGGTACCAGTACCCCTGGAGAATCCCTTCGCTGAGCATCCACGACCATGTTATTCCAATCCTGAGCGTGGGTGCTCAGGCTAAATTCCGCTCAAAAACTGCTCGGGGCAAATTGAGCAACAATACCAAGGCGACCCCTGCCACGCTATCCGTGAATATCTGCAACATCAGCGGACTTCACTCTAACCTAAACGCCGTCCACTACCAGCTCGAGACGGCGAAGCCGGCCTTGCTCTTTCTGACCGAGACGCAGGTTTCCTCTCCGGTTGATATTTCGTATCTCTCCTACCCGGGGTACAAATTGGAGCAATCCTTTGTGCCTCGGGCTGGAGTTTGCGTGTATGTCAGAGAGGACATCTGTTCTCGACGCCTCGGCAGTCTTGAAGGTTCGGACTTGTCCATCCTTTGGCTACGCGTAGACAGCGACGACCATCCGCGCGTCTACGGGTGCCTCTATAGGTCCTATAGCGGTAATGCCGAAACAGACCGACTCATCGACCACGTCCAAATGGCTACAGATTCCTTGCTACAACAGGTCCCATCCGCAGAGATCGTGATCCTTGGCGATTTTAACGCCCACCATGCCCAATGGCTCGGTTCACGTTTAACCGATCATGCGGGGAGATCTGTTTATGACTTTGCCTTGGCATAAGGTCAGACACAACTGGTTACTTCGCCTACGTGGATTCCAGATGTGGAGGATCATACACCTTCCCTGTTGGACCTTCTGCTGATCTCTCATCCGGACGGATATCAGGTTTCCGTCGATGCCCCTCTCGGCTCTTCGGACCATTGTCTGATCCGGAGTGTGGTGCCACTCACGCTCTCCTCGCGGTTGCGTTCTGCAGGTTGCCGCCGTGTTTGGCATTACAGGTCGGCGGATTGGGACGGAATGCGGTCTTTCTTTGCATCCTACCCATGGGGGCGGGTTTGCTTCTCGCCGGATGATCCCAGCGCTGTTGCTGACTCTGTCACTGATGTGGTGCTACAGGGAATGGAACTATTTATTCCATCATCTGTGGTACCCATCGGAGGCAGATCTCAGCCTTGGTTTCGTCGCTCCTGTAAGACTGCATTGCGCAGTAAGCAGGAGTGTTATCAAGCCTGGGCTGCGGCTTCGGCGACTCGGGATGTAAACACCAGCACACTTAAAAAGAAGTATAACTTCGCCTCCAGGTCCTTCAAAAGAGTTATTGCCAAGGCAAAGTCGGAGCACATAGGCAGAATTGGCGAGAAACGAGTTCGCCTTCCTTCGGGAACCCGTGCATTCTGGTCTCTCGCCAAGGGTGTCCAAGGGAATTTCTGTAAGTCATCACTACCATCTCTGCACAGGGAGGATGACTCACTGGACCAAGACGCAAAAGACAAAGCCGACCTTTTAGGCTCCCTTTTTGCGTCCAACTCGACTCTTGATGACGGGGGGAAAACACCGCCGACTATCCCGCGGTGTGAGTGCTCCATGCCGGATGTGCTGTTCTCACAGCACTCGGTTCGCAAAGCACTGCTCTCCCTGGACATCCAGAAGTCGAGTGGGCCTGACGGAATCCCCCCAATTGTGCTGAGGACGTGTGCTCCGGAGTTGGCACCGGTCCTAACGCGTCTTTTCCGGTACTCCTACTCCCAAGGCGTAGTCCCGAATTCATGGAAGACAGCTTTTGTCCACACGATCCCTAAAAAAGGCGACCGCTCAGACCCATCCAACTATAGGCCTATCGCGATCACCTCCTTGTTCTCCAAAATAATGGAATCCATTATTAACTGCCAGCTCATCCGGTACCTTGAGGATCACCAGCTGATTAGTGACCGCCAATACGGTTTTCGTCGGGGTCGATCAGCTGGTGATCTTCTGGTCTACCTGACCCATAGATGGGCGGAGGCAGTAGAGTCCAAGGGGGAGGCGTTGGCCGTTAGTCTGGACATTGCGAAGGCCTTCGATCGGGTTTGGCACAGAGCGCTTCTTTCGAAGCTCCCTTCCTATGGGCTTCCCGAGAAATTGTGCCAATATTTCTCGGGAAAACGTCGCCAAGTACCGGAACAAACTTGTTTCTGAAGTCGAGTCTTTGCTGAACAAAGTCTCGGATTGGGGGCGACTAAATCTAGTCCAGTTTAATCCTCAGAAGACACAAGTTTGCGCGTTTACCGCTAAAAAGAACCCCTTTGTCGTATCTCCTCAGTTTCAAGGCACTCCCCTTCTTGCCTCAGCCAGTATCGGTATGCTCGGAGTCGACATATCGAGTGACGTGCAGTTTCGTGGTCACTTGGAAGAGAAGGCCAAATTGGCCTCTAAAAAGCTTGGCGTGCTCAGCAGAGCGGGACAGTATTTCATGCCGGCACACCACCTGCAACTTTACAAGGCGCAGGTTCGGCCTCACATGGAATACTGTTCCCATCTCTTGGTCGTATGTGGGAAATGTGGAGAGGCGGGACATGAACGTGGTGCCTGCAAGTCCACGGAGGAGAAGTGCGCTACGTGCAAGCGATTTGGTAGAACTGACTCTGGCTCGCACGTGACCATAGCGAGGAACTGCCCAGCAAGGCTGAATGCAGAGCAACGCTCCGTGGCCACCACTCAGTACTGCCGATAAGGGCAGCCCAGGAAGACAAGGCACTACGATTAGGACAAATCAACCTCGGTCGAGGGTAGCTCCCCGCGGCCGAGCTGCCCATCCTGGCGCGTGAACTGTACCTGGACATTGTTCTTGTACAAGAACAGTACTCCCAGGTTGCGGGGATCGTTCAGGTGGGCTGTCACCCGTGCGCGGGCATCTATCTTGCCGACCCAGCAATTGGGGTAGCAGTGCTGAGCCACCTCAGCAACTAATTTTGTGTGGTGTGCCATGTTGACCGATGGGACCTCTATGTGGTGTCAGCGTACTTTAAATTTAGCGACACTATTGATGACCACCTGCACCACTTAGAGGTCGCCCTGAGTTGCCTTAAGGCCAGAAGGGTGATCATGGGCCTCGACGCCAATGCGCACTCGCCACTCCGGTATTGTGATCGCCGACACTACGTGGGAAGAGGACAAAATGTACAATATCGAAGGCAGCAAATGGAGGAGTTTATTATCACACATGCTCTAACGTTTGCAAATATGCCTGATCAGCCCTACACCTTCTCTGGGCCTAGAGGTGAGCCCAACGTGGACCTGACCCTCTCCACTGGGGACGTCTACCTTGCCGAGTGGCGAGTGCACGAGGGGGTATGCGCCAGCGATCATAATTTAATAACTTACACGGCCACTACCAGCAGGCCGACGACGCGCGCAGCATCCGTTAGGGATCCCCCCGTTTTCGTGACCGAGGGGTGGATTGGGAAAGGTTCCGGGCGATTGTCAAATTACGAATGGGATGGCTGCACGTAGAAAAACCCGCGGCTCTCCTGGCGAAGGAGTTCTCAGAGGTCGTAATTCGTTCTGTGGAGGAAGGCCTAGGGGAGCGTCGCCCCAGGGGGTCGGGGGGGTATGAATGGTGGACATTTGAACTGGATAAAACTCGGAAGTTGCAATGCAAACTTAGGCGTGCTTGGCAGAGTAAAAGGCGTCTGGGAGGTAGGTCTGAGGAGTTAGCCAGGATGGCTTTCCATAGTGTGCGTGCGAGATATAGGAAGATGATGGTGGAGGCGCAGCAGTCGCAGCACAGGAAGATTGCCAACTCTGGCAATGAGGACCCATGGGGCTTTGCATACAGGCTCTCCAGCGGCAGGGTACGTCCGCCTGCAAATGTGATCAATGGGATCGCCTTTGCGGGTGTGCACCCGGACGGTCTGGAAGCAGCGATGCATAAATTAATGTCTGCGCTCTGTCCGGATGACAGCACTGACTGCGACTCGCCTTATCACCGGCAGGTTCGTCTGCTGGCGGCTTTCATGCCGTCGGGTGGAGCTGCGCCTCCACTTAAGGTTGAGGAACTGGGTGGTATAGTTAAGGCCTTGCCCAACACGGCTCCGGGACTCGATGGAGTGAGTGCGAGAATCGTGAGGAATGTGTGGATTGCGGCACCGAGGGAATTTCACTCGGTGTATGCCAAGTGTGTGGAAGAGGGGGTTTGCCCCAATGTATGGAAGGACGGAAGACTGATTGTCATTCCCAAGGGTAATGACAAGCCGCTCACCGACGTCAAGGCATACCGTCCAATAACGCTCCTCCCTGTTTTGGGTAAATTATTGGAACGAGTAATTTTAAGATGTGCTCCCGCGATTAGCCGCGGGATATCCGAGTACCAGCACGGATTTTCTCCGGGGCGGTCTACAGTAACAGCGCTGCGTGTAATGCTCAGCACGGCCAGGTATTCTCAGGCATGCTACGTGCAAGCAATATTCTTAGATATCTCCGGCGCCTTCGACAATGCCTGGTGGCCGATGATGATGGTCAAGGCCAAAAGGGGTGGATGTCCACCCAACATTTATAGAATGTTGGTGGACTACTTCACCTCTAGGCGTGTGGGCCTCTACATCGGAGACCGGGTAGAGTGGAAGACGTTGACCATGGGATGTCCTCAAGGCTCCGTGCTGGGCCCAACACTGTGGAATGTGCTGATGGACGACCTGCTCCGACTCCCTCTGCCCGAGGGAGTAGCCATGACTGCCTATGCCGATGATGTTACAATCTTGATTGAATCGGGTACGAGAGCGGGTATCGAATCCAGGGCCAGAGTCACTCTGGACCTTGTAAGGGAGTGGGGGCTAAGGAATCGACTGGAGTTTTCCTCCTCAAAGTCGACCACCATGACTGTTAGAGGGAAACTTCAGCGCCCCCCCCCCCCCCCCCGTTATTAAACTTGGTGGGGAATCTATTAAGACTGTGACTAACGTTAAGGTATTAGGCGTGGTTTTAGACTCGGGACTATCGTTTGTGCAACATGCATCCGATATCTCTGAAAGAGCGACCAAGAGATTCGGCAAGATGTCTCGCGTATCTACATCATCATGGGGTGTACGATAGCCGAGTTTTAAATTAATTTATAGAGGAGTGTTTGTGTCCACGCTTACGTATGCGGCAGAGTGCTGGTACGAGCGTGCAAACATGTACACAGTTCGTAGCGTACTACTGATATCGCAGCGATCCGCTCTTGTATTGTTAACCAAGACGTACCGATCCACTAGCACGGCGGCCTTACCGGTGCTGGCTGGCGTTCTCCCTGCTGACCTAGACGTCATCCGTGCTGGTAGGATGGGTATAGCACGTTTGACCGCGCCCAAAGAGGAGTTGAGCAGACGGAATCGCGATATCTGGACTGAGGTGATAGGCGCCTGGCAGGATAGATGGACGTGTGATACAAAAGGACGTGAGCTACATGGATTTTTCCCGGACGTGGCGTTGAGACTCAGTTATACCTCGGTCTCACCGGACTACCAAACCTCTCAGATTCTCACCGGACATGGATGCTTACGGAAGAGACTGAGCGACATGAAACTGTGTGAAATTAGTATGTGTGAGTGCGGTATGTCGGAGGAGGATGTTCACCATGTTCTATGGGAATGTCCTCTGTATGATGACCTAAGAGTGAAAATGATGGATGGACTAGTTCGTCCGGTTCAGGGACCAGTTTACTACTCGGATCTCGTCAGCGATGTGGTAAACTACGGACTGTTGCGCGAGTTTGCGCATAGGTGGCACGATCGCAGGACAAGGCAGGATGGAAGGCTGGTAGGAGCGCCCGACGACGTAGGCGTCAATGTGTCGTCAGCCCCAGAAGGGGGAAAATGACGTTAAACTGGGACAAGGAATAGATTAAATATTTGTAGGGAGTCAAAAAAGTGTGCGCGGGAAAAAGCCACGTGCAAGTACCGCGCGCATCTCCCGAGATTCGGCCCGTATGACCTGAGGGTCAGTGGGGCCATGGGAGGTGGAGGGTTGTTCCCATCTCTGGGCAGGGGCTCCCCAGTGCCAGCTCCTTCCACTTGACCGCATCCAACGCAGAGCGGCTCGAATCGTCGACGACCGAGCCCTTTCCGATCGGCTCGATTCATTGGCACTGCGAAGAGATGTTGCATCCCTTTGCATTTTCTTTCGCATCTACCATGACGAGTGCTCTGAGGAATTGTTCGGATTAATCCCAGCCGCCAAATTTCACGAACGCACATCGCGGCAGAACTCCCGATATCATCCACACCATCTGGATGATTGGCGGTCCACCACTGTGCGATTTAGAAGATGTTTTCTTCCTCGCACGACTTCCTTGTGAAATCGATTACCATCATCGATTTTTCCGGACCGATACGACATAGGGACCTTCAAGAAAAGAGCGTACTCGTTTTTAAAAGGCCGGCAACACATCTGCAATTCCTTCCCTGGTGTTGCAGTTGTTCATGGGCGGCGGTAGTCACTTACCATCAGGTGAGCCGCATGCTCGTTTGCCCCCTCTCCTATAAAAAAAAAACATGACCCACTGAGAGGTGAAATTTTCAAATGAGTAACATTACAACTATGGCAAATATCCCCTATGAGGCAACCTATGGGAGAGGCGTATGTTCAGCAGTAGACTTTAATAGGCTGTAACAGTTGTCTAAGGAGGCTATTTTTTGAAGGCACCTGCTACTCATGCCCCCTATATATCCCCTCTATATAGCAGACAGTCAAAAGGGTATTTTATAAATGTTTTAAATATTAAAATAACCTTGAACCAATTGCAACTTTTCAAACTTGCATCTTCTTCGTTCAGAGCACAGCACGTACATGAGTCCAGCCAGGTTCTTACATTCAAGTTGGGTTTGGAGGGCGCTAATCTTCTCCTTCCGCTCTCTGTGCGCTTCGCGTAGCATATAGGAAGTGCGTATTTCTTCATTCCTTAATTATTTATTAGCGATAAATATTTCAACTATAAAATGTTATGTAGGTCTGTGGTAGTTCAGATGGTTAGCGCTCGCTGTAAATTTCACAGTACGCGTGCAACCCGCGTTCGATCCCCGCCGGTACCAAATAAATTGTTAATTGCAATTTTAAGTGCTGATTTATCACGTGCTCGGCGGTGAAGGAAAACATCGTGAGGAAACCTGCAAGTCTGAGAAATAAGAAAAAAAAAATTCGAAGACATGTGAAGTTCACTAACACGCGTTGGGGCAGCGTGGCGGACATTTCCTTGCCCTCTCAGAAATGAGGGTAGGCCTGTGCCCAGCAGTGGGACGTATATAAACTTTAAAATGTTATGTCTATCACTCATCTTCAATGTCATACTACGCGAATAAGATCGACTTACTACACTCAAAGAGGACCACAGACCCTTTTTAACTAACTGCAAAAAAGGAGGAAGTTATTAATTTTAGTGTATTTTTTTATGTGTGTCACCTTTTTTATTTGAAAGCTGGTGCTTATCATGTGGTCCCATAGAAATTGGATCAAGATGTGACCAGTAGTTTTTGAGTTATCCTTAACAATGCGTATTTAACTGACTGATGATGTTAGGGTCGAAAAAAAAAAAAAACTGGTGTAAGTGCGTCAACTGTAGTGTAATATTTAATAAGTTATTATTTGATTTCTCAACAAACTTATCTAATTTTAGTTGTTATAGAATTTGTGTAGTATAATTGTAATTTATAAGTGAAGAGAGTGCAAAATTCGTGCAAATAAGACTATAAAAACAAAAAATACCTAAATGGACTGTGTACTTTCTCATATAAGTGGTTAGTCTAAGTGAAGTATTTTAAATAATTTATGTATGGTGTATTGGGCTAACACATTATTTAATATAACATATCATGCCAATCTTCTTTAAATTCAATGATAATTATTAACAAGTTTTAAATTATAACCTCAATTTCTAAGAACACGCCCTGTTATATAATTGTATTATCGTATCGCACTGTGTTTAACGCCATCTGTAATTTAGTGCCAACTCAATCAGAGGTCTAGCCAATATTGGCGTAATTCCAAAAAATTGCCACAGGGAGCGTTGTATTAAATTGTTGAATTATTTCTGCCTATTAACACCGCATAATACGCTTATCATGCCTCGCACGCAATCCGCATCAGAAAAATGCGCTGCATGTACAAAATTGCTTCCAAAAAATATCTTCCCACGTTGTACTGTATGCAAGGGGGCATATGACCTCGAATGTATAAATATGAGTACACAAAGATTTTATTCATTCTACATGCATGATAAAAAACGTTGCGAAAGCTGGAAATGTCCTGAATGTAAGCGTCCTAGAAGTGGCAATCTAAACACTTCAATTCACCCTGCCTTACCTCCAGAGCCTACTACAGAGGAGGCCTGTAACATTACTCGTCGAATAAAATCTTCACCATTATTAACTCGCAATGACTCCATTGAAAGTGCGGAATTTGACGCCGATAGAGATGTTAGCGCTCTTATTCCTGGAGACTTTGTGGCGGAGCTGAAACAATTTTATAAAGAAATGCGTGCCATGCGGGCTGAAATGTCAACGTTCCGCTCAGTTATTTCTGATTTAACTGCCACAATTACATTACAAAATGCTCGAATCGATACACTTGAGAGCAAAATCCAAAACTTGGAAGATAAAGTTAGTGCGTCACATAGTTGTAATATATCTGACCTTGAAGATACCATTACAAACCTCAAGCTAGAAATTGAGGATCGGAACCAAGATATGCTTGCTAATGATATCGAGATAGCCAATTTCCCCGAGTTAAACAGTGAAAATCCTATTCACGTATTCCTCACAGTGTGTAAGAAGTTAGGAGTAGAGGTGGCAGAATGCGATGTAGTGAATGCACAGCGAGTGGGAGTGCCACGAGGCGCAAATGAAGGTGCTGCGACGTCACGGCCAAGACCAATTGTCGTGCGACTGACGCGCCGCGCACACCGCGACGCGATACTGCAGGCTGCGCGTGTGCGTCGCCGCCTCTCCACTGAAGACATGGCACTGGCGGGAGCTGATGAACGTCCATTTTTTATAAACGAGCGACTTACACGACACAATCGGCAACTTTTCCAGAGCGCTCGCGAGGCTGCCACACGTCACTCTTGGAAGTACGTATGGACGCGCGGTGGCAAAATTTTCGCTAGAAAAGAAAACGGTAAGGCACGCCACCAGCTTCGCTCTGTAATGGACCTATTTAAGGTTTTTGGGGAATGCAACGTTGGAAATACCAAGTAGTGTATAATGCTATTTGCTTAATTTATTCATTAGTTGCAATCCCCTATTTTAATTTTAATTTTAATTTACTTCATTATCTTTATAAAATTGTTACGTTATGTATAAAATATAAGATAAGTTCTATTACTGAGTTCCTTTATTTGAAATGTGTACAAATTAAGAATTTGTTATACTTACTGTTTATTATTATTTTATGTTAAAGAAAATGTTATGTTTAGAAAACAAACATTTGAATTGTCATTTAGTTAGTTTTATATATATATTTTAAAAAAGCAATATCTTGTATTTTCTATATTTACGAACAAGATATCTTTTTGTCATAAATATGATTATAGTATATATTACCACTTTAAATTAATTACTTTATTACATTTTTATTCTAAATTAAAGTTAATTTACGCTGAAGATAATAAGTTAATTGTTACTTTTATTTTTATATTGTATTACTATTATTACCTTATATTTAATACTACAATGTCTATTCATATAATATGGAATATTTGCAGCCATTCTTGTGAAAATTACTTATTCTATATTTACTTATTATGTTATACATCTTGCATTGTGTCTACTATATATCATTTTAAGTTATTTAATAATGCTGCAATACACAAATGCTTACTAATACTCATTGCTAATTACATTACAAAAAAAATAGTAATTAATACAAATATTTATCTGCACAAATATTTAAATACCTCAATCAACTGCATTCCAGCATTTTATTTTGTGAACAGGCGTCATTTAACAATTATAAAGAAGTATCTTCACAATTCTAAATACATTTTATTGTCATTCGCGTTTGTCTTACAATTTATTAAAAGAAAAAAATTATCTTTAGGCTTGCTAAATCCTTGCTCTCTTGGAACGCGTCATGAGGAGTTTGTCGTAGCGCTAGAGCGGCACTCGTTGGATATATTGGCTATCAATGAGACATGGTTGAGAGAAGGGGAAGAACGGCGAGCGCCAGCGCCACCTGGTTACCGACTACGGCACATACCGCGGCCTGCGAAAGTAAGCACGCGCGGTGGTGGTGTCGGGTTTTATCTTCGGAGTGACTTATACGCACGACAGATTCACCCTCCCCAGCCTTTATTGATCGAGCAAATGTGGTTAAGTATAACCCTTAATAGTCTTAAAATCGCCGTAGGCACTGCGTATCGCCCGCCTTGGCTAAATATTGACACATTTATTGACGCATTGACTGAATCGATTAGTTCATTTTCTTCTTTTGATCATATAGTACTATTAGGTGATTTTAATATCAATCTACTTGCAGTTAACGAGCCCAACACAAATAAATTATTATCTTCACTGAAAATCATGAATTTACAGCAATATATAGAAAAACCAACTCACTTCACAGACCATTCTGAAACGTTATTAGACTTAATATTCAGCACATCTAAGGTGTTCAATGTCTCAGTTGATCATATCCCAGACCTAAGTAGTCATGCTCTTGTTTCATGTTAATTGTATATAAAAAAACCTAGACCAGTTCCTAAATATATAAGTTACAGACCATTAAGAAATATAAATATTGAGGAATTTAATGTCTTAGTTGATAGTATTAATTGGGAACGACTTTTTCATGAAGATGTAAACGTTTTTTTAATGTCTTTTAATGCCTATATCAATCATATTTATGAAATACATGCACCTATTAAGAAATCCTACATTAAAAAACAAATTTACCCCTGGATAACACCAACTATCAAATGTATGATGAAACTAAGGGATCAAGCCTACGCAAGGAGTCGTTCCTCAAAAGTTGAATCTGACAAAACATATTACAAAGATCTAAAACGTGTCGTTAATCAAGCCTTATTCAACGAAAAAGCAGCATACTTCCGATATAATATCAATGAACAATCAAAAAACCCCAAAGAATTATGGAATAATTTCAAGTTAAATGTCGCTAATTTTAAAAACAAACAATACGATTTACCTGAAAATATCAATGATCCTAATCTTATCAACAACCATTTTCTTAATATAGAGGTAAATCATAACATTAGCATTTCGGAACTTACCTATTTTAAGTCGAATCGGTGTACCTCTGCAATATTTAGTCTTAAAACTGTGGATGAAACAGAAATTTCTAAAATAATTTCTAATATTGCGAGTAATGCTCAAGGAGCTGATGGCATTACGCGTGATATGATCCAGTTGACATTACCTCGTACATTAGCGATCATTACTGCCATTGTTAATCAGTCCATCAAAACAGGCGTTTTCCCTGACATTTGGAAAAGAGCTCTGGTCAAACCAATACCAAAGAAAAGCAATCCGAACGAGTTAAAGGATCTCCGTCCCATTAGTATTCTTCCCTTTATGTCTAAGATAGTTGAAAAAGTTGTATCTCAGCAACTTTTGGAGTTTCTGAATGTCAACAACATCTTACCTCAAAAACAGTCTGGTTTCAGAAACGGTCATAGCACGGCCACTGCTTTATTAGATGTAGTGGATGACGTACTATCCGAAGCTGATTCTGGAAATGGAACAATATTGGTACTGCTGGACTTTTCCCGTGCTTTTGACACAATAAACCACGATTTGCTTATGTCAAAACTCTCATATTATGGATTTGATAGTATCACATTAAAATGGTTTTCAAGTTTTTTGTACGGACGCTCTCAAAGAGTTGAAGTAATTAGCAAAACAAATACTAAAAGACTCTCAGATATTTCAATTGTCAGTCAAGGTGTACCACAGGGTTCAATACTGGGTCCACTCCTTTTTATTCTGTATAGTGCAGATATCGCTTCATGCATTAAATATTGCAAATTTCATGCTAATGCTGATGACTTACAGCTTTACTATTCTTTTAGACCTTCAGAAACTTTATTAGCAGTGACAAAAATTAATCAGGATTTAGCACACGTAGTTGAATGGTCTAATAAAAACAGCTTAGTGCTAAATCCTCAAAAGTCTAAATTTCTTGTGCTTGGGTCCAAAAATCAAGTAGATAGGATTAATAGGTTTACTTTAGAGCTAAAAATACAGAATAAACATATTGAACAAGTGACAGAGGCTAGAAACCTGGGTGTACTAATGGACAGCAAATTAAAATTTCATAATCATGTCCTAGAAGTTGTTAAAAATTGTTATTTTAGGCTAAAAATTTTATACCAAGTACGTAAATTTTTAAGTTTAGACCTTAGGATATACTTTTGTGAGTCACTAATTCTTTCTAAGCTTAATTACGCTGATGCGGTTATAGGCGAATGTCTCCTCTCTCATACAAAGAAAGTTATACAAAGGGTGCAAAACGCTTGTTCACGTTTTTGTTTTAACATACCGAAGCGGACCCATGTAACACCTTATCTCAACAACAGTAATTTAATGAATATGCAGTCTCGACGTTCTCTTCATTTTGCCAGTTTATTGTTTGGTATCATAATGACACACACACCACAGTATCTTTATAACAAATTAGACTTTTCACGGTGACAGGTTAGAATAGCAACTCGTTTAGTATGTCCAAGACACAGTACATCGGCATTTCGAGATAGCTTTCGTTATTCTGCCACGAAATGCTGGAACAACATTCCACCACCAATTAGAAATCTAGCTTCAATCGGTTTGTTTAAATATAACTACAAAAAATACTTACTCAATATTCAAAAGTCAATTTATTGAAAATTATTTACTGTGTCTTACATACTTTGCTATTCCGTTTATTCGTTTCCTTTTAATCTTATTTAAGTAATTGCTATTTATATTATATTAATTTATTATAAGTACTTATGTATGTTTTATTACTTATTATTATTAGTGTAATCGTGTATATGGTTTAAATATACTGTATTTGCATATTGACTTAACATTGTATAATAATGAATATTGTTAAGTTTTGTTTGTGTTAAATGTTATCGGCACCCACGGAAGATCAGTGTCGAAGTACTTTGTTAGTACCAAGACTATGCTGAGTTGGGTACCTTTTTAGTAACCGTTTATCTTAATATGTTATTATGGTAAGCAAACTTCTAAAATGTGTTACTAAATAAACTCATTTTCTTTCTTTCTTTCTTTCTTTCCCTAGACGAAGGTTTATCGACCAAATCGGCGATACATTAAAAATGGGCCAGATTAGGAGTGCCCTTAACCGACGAGCGTGTATGCGTAGATATATGGATGTAAAGGAGGCGAGAGAGGTGTGTCAGGATCGCGCCAAATGGAAGTCCGTAGTCTCTGCCTACCCCTCTGGGTGACAGGCGTGAGTGTTTGTGTGTGTTCTGTTCTCATTTTATTTATGTTGAAGTCGGTTGTACAAAATGTTTTCATTTTACTACATGTATTAATAACGATGCACAATAACTTAGTCCTCGGGAGTGACAATGCGTCTCCATTTTACTTTTTAAATCGAGGAATGATGTGTTTGTCTATTAGCCACAGTATCCGTCAGGTAGACTGTGACCCTTATTCCAAAAAAAAAAATATCAAGGCTTTGTTAGTTAGTTTTAATGTTTTGGCTTTTTTTCATATACTGTTAGAATTATGACAGTAGTATGTAGTAGCTATTTAACGTTAATATTCGGAAAAAATTTCACAAAAGCTCTGTTAAGTTAAAAACTTAAAATTGACGAAGTAATGAATAAAAAAAACTGGCTATCTAACATAAAAACTAAAAAGTATTTTTCACATTGAACTAGTGGTTAGTTTCTGATATTAGCGCGTTCAAATTCAAACACACTAGAAACCATTCATAGTTATATACTAGTATAGATTAAAATTTATATTTTTTTTTAAGTTGAATCTATAGGTACGTGATTTTTGTCCAATATGTTCAACTTTCCTAAATAATTAAATAGTTGAACTGATTGGAATGATTTTGTTTCATAAGTTCAACAAATTTAACGTATACCGTTGAACTAATTAGATCAAGCCAAAAATGCACTGGTTGTTCCAAAGATTAGTTGTGTGTAAGTACTATTTAAGAGCCAGCAAAGGGCGACCACTTCTTTCTTCATCTCTCAAAGTTAATTGACGTGCTGATATTTGTTAACCGTGTACCGTACCGCTGGTACGTGTACCGTTAATTTAAAATGACCTTTATCACAAACACACGCACGCACGCAGGCATGCACGCATCCAAGCATGCTTCATGTAACATATTATCATTAAAAATACCAATTGAAGTATGTATTTCAAACGATTTGTCCATCATGGCAGGCAACATTTGAAATGGTAAAAAATCATCGCGCGATAATGTTTCCGACGCAAATCTTTTTTTGAATGAAACGCTATTTAAGTTCTATTTTGCGCGTAAAAATTGTAGGAAAATTTAAAATTTGACATGTTGTGTATTTATGTAATATATGTATATATGTAATATTATGTAAATATCCTTCGATCGACAATACCAACTAGATAACGGGTCACGTACAAAATCATAGCTAAATGCTGTCCGCGTTAATATATACTTATACAGTTACATTTGTTTACTAAAAAACTGAGACAAAAAATCAAAACAGTTTTATGTTCAACCCAATTACAACCATGGCGTCTAGTAATAAAGTCACAAATCTTACGATCATTAGTTACAAAAAAGAACAATTCAATGCATTACTCCTGTCACTTGGATATGAAATGACATAGATTAAATATCAATATCACTGATCATAATATAATGTAACTTTAATGTTTGACGAAATAAATTATTTATTATTATTATTATTAAATAACATTTAGTGTGAAATCAACCTTAAGTAACAACAAATTAAAGTACTTTTTCCCGTTATTGCCTTGCAAGCTACGTTGTTTTGTTTCGTTTCTGTTTGCGTCTTCGAATTTAGCTACAAAAGTTATGGAGTCGCGGTGAACACTAAAATAATTTATAATATGATCATAAGTTTAGGTAAAATTATTTACATTTTGGGCATTTATGTTTGTTAGTATACATACTTTCCACACAAGCCATTATAATATAGTATGTAGTATAATGATTGCTTTTGATTAGATAATTCATTATATATTTATTTTAGTTTTTGTATGTATTTATGTTTGTAGTATATGTATTATATATATTATTTATAAATATATTTTTGAAATGTCCCGTTTCTTTTTTACATATTATATAATGTAACCTTACGTCAATAATTTTTTCAACTTACGGATTGCTAGGAAAGCTAAAATAAAAATAATAAAGCTAAGTATCTAATGAAATTACACAAACAGAGACAAAAGTAACAATTACCATTATTTAAAGTTCTGGTAACAAATTACTAAAAATGATTACAATACAAATCCACTCCATGTACTCTACTGTTCTGTTTTACAAATGTTTACGCGTGTATTGGCCAACCTTGACAAAACATTTGTAGGGGTGCTTTAAAATAGGTAATTTCGTTTCAAATATGATAATTGTTGTTAGTTTAGAGCTTAAAATATAACTTATTCTACATGTACTTACCGAAAGTAAGATACTCCGGCTGTTAAATTGCTTTTTCGGGCACTATTCTTGCAACTTTTAAATATACATTGCGGCATTGTGAAACGTGTTTATATTGGCTGTGTTTCAAGTCAACTAAACGAAATAAGAGCTCACGTCTCCAGTGCGCCGTTATTTACTTCGCCGTATTTTTTGCGCCGACCCGATATCTAGTTGGTATTGTTGATCGAAGTAAATATCGTATAATTTCCAAAATAAATTATAACTGACCAGTGTCACATGCAAAAAACACTTTTTACGCATATAAACACTATGTCTTAGCACCGACTTTAGAGCTATTATGTGGAATTTTTTTTTATTTTTAGTCCTTTGAATTCGGTTTTCACTTTTATTATAAGTTTAATTTTTAGTGTCTATTGAAATCCGGGTGGAGTGACATAAGTCGGGTCGATGAGTGGCCATTCTTGATACACGTACAAGTCGCGGCACGTAAGTCTAGCGCTGAACGAAACGGGGAGGGGACACACACAAATTGAATTGCCCGAATGTGACTGGAGAGCCAATCAGCACGTGCGAATGATACGCACGAGCTAATCAGCGCGACTTATGCGCATAAACCAATCAGTGCGACTTATGCAATAACGGTCACCGCTAGACTTTCGTGCCGCTACTTATACTTATAGTAATATTATATTATGTATTCTGTGAGTCGATGGCACCGTGTGGTCTCACGTTGAATTACCATAAATTATCTAGATTACAAGTTAATACATAAATGATAACATACTGTAAAATAAAATCGAATCTGTTCTTCAAAATTCTGATTTCATTTTCTAAATCTTTCTGATACAACGCCTTCAACAAATTCTCTCTTTCTTTGAGCAATTTAATAATTTCCTCCTTGTTAGAAATATCTCCTTCCTTCACTATCGGTTTAGGACAGGCGCATTCAGCTGAGGGATCTCTTGGTGTTGCTTCTATTTTGGTGCTGCCAGTGGCATCCATTTTAACTGATGAGACAGTCGGGGAATGTTGCTCTTCCCTGATTACTTCTAATACATCTCCACTTTCTGTAATGCAGCGTTCGTGGCTTGGATTTCTAGACATCTGTGAATTGTTTTAATTTATTATGTAAGTATTTTTTCGTATTTATTTGGTATATGAGTAGTAGTGGCTGCCTACGTGAAACCTATTTTCAAAAACACTGACAGAAAAACACCCGTGTATGCGCTTGTTTCCTGGACCTTTCAAAAGCCTTTGACCTGGTTTCGTACAATGTTTTGTGGGGAAAGCTTCGGGAGGCGGGAGTACCTGCTTCATTAGTGTCTATATTATGTAGGTGGTATGACAAGCAAAGAAACTTTGTAAGGTGGTCCAATGTATTGTCTGACCCTTATAAACTTGAGTGCGGTGTGAGGCAGGGAGGTCTTACCTCTCCGAGGCTTTTTAATATCTATATTAATAAACTGATTGACGACCTTAGCAGCACACATGTTGGTTGCCATATAGACGGAGTAAGTCTAAACAACTTAAGTTACGCAGACGATTTGGTGCTGCTGAGCCCGTCAATATGTGGAATGCGAAAGTTGCTTGCCATTTGTGAGGATTATGCTGATCAACATGGATTGAAATATAATGCTGATAAAAGTGAACTGTTGGTTTTCAGAGGTAGAAATAAAAGTCCAACATATATCCCTCCAGTAAAGCTTAACGGTTAACTTTTACAGAGTGTAGCCCAATTTAAATATCTGGGTCATATTGTAACAGAAGACTTGAAGGATGATCTAGATATTGAAAGGGAACGCAGGGCGCTAGCTGTGAGAGGTAACATGGTGGCTCGAAGGTTTGCTGCTTGCTCTGTACCAGTTAAAATTACACTGTTCAAGGCTTTCTGCCAAACATTTTACACCAGCAGCCTTTGGGCCAATCATACCCAAAGGGCAGGAAATACCCTGCGTATCCAATATAACAACGCCTTCAGGTTGCTGTTGGGGCTTCCACCTTATTGTAGTGCATCAGGCATGTTCGCGGATGCGCATACTGACGATTACTTCGCGATCATGCGTAAAAAAGTGGGGTCACTGATGCACAGAGTGAGGAGGAGCTCGAATAGTCTCTTGAGGGTCTTTGCGGAACGGCTAGATGGCCCGACACTGGGTAGGTTTATTAAGCTACATTTACGAAATGGAGCTTGATAAAACCCCCAAATTTTTCACAAATTTATGTCTTGTTTTATTTATTAACATTAGTTCTTAAGTTTTATTTTATATTACTAACATGATTGCCTACGATGCCTGAAAAATAAAACATTTTTATTTTTATTTTTATTTATTTTTATTTAAAAACCCAAATCCTCTTATATTTTCATTTCACATATCACTTCACTTTTTTTCAAAAACCACCACTTTCATATTATTTGAATTCACTCTCATTCCCCTATATTTTAACGATACTTTTACAACTAAAGATTATTGTTTAAGGGTGTATAATAATTTATTACATATAAGGCGAAGGAAGCAATTGTTGTTACCCATGATGTCTCGAAAGCCTTTGACAGGGTCACGCCATGTTTTTAGGCAAGCTTTCAGCGTACGGCTTATCACCTAGTCTGATCAGCTGGGTGAAGGACTTTTTTTTTTGATTGAACGGTCTCTACGAATCGTTGTCGAAGGCTGCTGTTCCGAGCATATGGCAACTAATTCGGGAGTTCCTCAAAGGTCACTTGAATGTTGCATATCAATGACCTATTTATACCCGGTATCTTTGGGTACGGGGAGTTGTGTGCTCGGAACAATTGGGATCAAATCTAGTCCTCAGCTGTAGTTGAGCGTTACGATCACTTACTACAGGCAGTCTTCAAATGGGGTGATGCCACAATTAAAAAAAGATTCAACGCCTCCAAAACACAAGCGGAGAAAAGGAGCCAGCTCATCCTCGCTCCTTTTTTCCGAAATGTGTTATTGGAATTCACTGCTCGCCTACAGTTGCTGTTGGTTAAGGTTTCTTCACTCCTGAACTTGTGTGTATAGATGAGTCCAGGGCCAAAGCAGCTTTAAGGAAGTTAAGTTTCCTTGCAAAGGTACCTATACTTACTATACTATACTTCACGCCGAGACAATTGCTTATACTTTATATTTATTTATTTATTCATTTTATTTCATTTTATAAGGTGCACGTCCGGTTGTGCATGGAGAATTTCTGTCATTATATGGTCTGATGCGGCTTTGGACTCAGTGGAAAGGAGTGCTAACAGACTTATCAGTGACACCAATATAGTTAAAAATAATTTTACCAGTCTTGGCCATAGGCGCAAAGTAACTAGCCTTTTAGTTTTTTACAGGATGCATTTCGGATTTTATCAGCAGTAATTGCATGACTTAATTCCTCCCTCTCCATTCCATTATTAGGCCACCAGACGCTCGGCTGGTCTCCAGCCCTTAGTTTTACTGACATACCACGCATCCTAACGAACCGTTTTGTTTTGTCATTCATAATAGGTACGTAGCAAAGGAGTGGAACAAATTGCTAGCGTCTGTCTATCCATCCGATTATAATCTGGGTGTATTTATTTTGTTGTGCAAGCAACAGTGAATAGGTTTTTTTAAGCTATGTCAGTGCGCTTTACAATTTTCGGCTGCATCATTCACTTACCGTCAGGTGGGAAGTAGTCAAGCACTGGCTAATAAAAGTAAAAAAAAAATTTGTAACCATGTATGACATGATTGTTGGTGTATCGAGACCCAAAATTATCGCAGTGTTATGTAACATATTAATATGAAGAAATTTGTAAATATATGTATATCCCCTCAACAGTATATGTGTATACCTATATATATATATATATATATATATATATATATATATATATATATATATATATATATATACATACATCTTATATGTAACAACCTTTGCGGCTATATTTTACTGCCTGGGAAGAAATAATTTAATTTAATTAAAATATAATAAAAATGATTTTTTCACCTAAATTTATACATTATCATAACATTAGCGCTAAAAGCGAAGTATAATAGTAGTTTTCAGTAAAAAAAAATTACAAAAATGCTACATAAGGCGGAAATTGACCGCTGAGATGGATAACACAGATTATCAATATTACAGATTATCAATATTTGACACATAGTCGGGATGGATGACATTTACTGTTGAGGAGATAATGTATAATATTATGCTGTGTATTATATAAAAACTAGATCTGAGAGCATAATATTATATCCTGTAGTATTTTTTCATTGAAGGCCTTGTAGTCAATGTCACAATAAATAAAGAAATAATTATTAACAATATCTCAATCTCAAACTTTCTTGTTGTTTATTACTTTATTTATATGTAATCAGTTTCTTCGTAGCTTGAAAGAATACTCTTGATTTATGATAAATATTTTAAAACAGGTATTTTTAATGTTTAAAATATCTTTTATGTTTACATGAATATTTTTTATCTGCCGTAAGTGCAATGGCAACAATGAGATTCGAATATTTTTGCTGTCGTGCGTGAAGTTTGTAGCATGTGATGTTTCATGAAGTGTTAATTTTATACGAAGAAAGTATTGAAAATTTGGACTGAATTGTGCCTGAAAGTGTTATAATATAATTATTGTGTGTTATTCCAGTGGTGTGATTGTGATATATACTAGAAAAGCATAAATACGATTTACATGGATATAGCCGTCACTTGAGGTTGTATAAGGTTAGTGCTTTTTTCGTCTGTTGTTTGTCTTAAAATAGATTTCTGTGCGGGTTTCAATGATATTTCAGATTTGTTTGTATAACGTCTTCATGTGACTTTTCAGTTTTTTCATGGGCCTTGAACTAGAAACTTGTATCTGACTTTTTTCGTTATCAAGGTTAGGTTTGAGTGCGCGCGTTTTGTCACTGACCTAATGTTTATTTTGTTTTATTTAATTATACTTGCATATTAATAAATTCTATATGAATGTTTGTTTATATTTATTATCCTATGCGAGTTACATGCTAAAATACAATAGTTCTGTTAAATATTGATCATATTCGGCCGACATAACCTATACAATCTTTACCTTATTTTTTGTGCAGCTTTTGACAATGGGCAAAATTACCGTTATCTTTAGTAGAGCAAGTGCAATCAGAAGCGTTAAAGCTTGTTATTAATGTAAGTTTAAGGTTAAAATTGCTCTACAATCATATCACAATATGGAATAAGATTGTTTTTGCATTTTGACAGTGCAATATCGTGCATGCACTTGGTCGAAGTACTGACAATTTATGCGTACCTACATTATTTTATAAATATTTTGAACAAGTTTTAACATTATTTACTATAAACAAGTTTAAAAACATCATTTAATGATCTTTATATTTTATGTATTTGTGTTATAAAGATGTTTAAGTACTGTCTTCCAAAACAAAATAAATGATTCGATTAAGCATATACATAAATACATTATTCAAAAAAAAACTGGTACTTTATGTTTAATGCTACAAGTAAAAAAATCTAATATAGCTATTGTAGTAAACAATCGCATATTGGTAAACATACGGAGCATAAAATTTTATGTATCAAGTATGAAAGCAAATACTAGGGATAAGTCGTAAAAAAGAAAGTTACTGGTGAACAAATATTTTATAATATGTTAATAAGTATAGAAAAATAGGAATAAATAACAATGTAAACAAGAAAATTTTAATATAACTAATAAGATGAGAGTTGTCATAATAATATGTACAGTAAGCATTCAGTAAGACTACCTCATTGCTTTAAGAATAATGCATAACTGCTGATAATGTTTCCCCAGGTCAGGCATCAGTTATTGTATTTAATATGTTTTGGATGAATGGTAAAGGAATCCATAGGAAACAAACAAACAAATATTTTATTGTTTTGTAAGAAACCTATAAAATGACCTTAAAATTTTGACAGATAAAAAAGGACTGCAAAATTAAGTTGCTACCTTTATTTGTATATATTATATATTACAAGGTACTTTACAATATGTTTTTATTAAGTTACTAGCGGTTTGTCCAGGCTTTGCAAGAGTGATTTCTGGATCTCGATAACAGCGCCACCTACCGGGTCCAATTGTGATTCTAAATCATCCAGGGACCAAT